CATTAACCAAGAAAATGCTTCACAGACCTGCCTGCAGGCAGATCTGATGGAGACAATTCCGCAGTTGTTATTCCTTCTTCCCAGATATGTTGTCAAATTGACAAAACCCAGAGGACCCAGTCCCACTCAGAATATGAGTTGATGGCATGAAGAGGAACAGTTATTCTCTAAAAGAAGCCAGGGGTGACCAAGACAAGGCCAGAGGGGCCATCCATAAAACTGTAGAACCTTGTCAATTGAGAATACTTTGTTAAAGAAGACTAAAATATCTATTGTTTTGCATGGGTACTTGGTAGTAATTATTCACTTATACAAAACAAAACAAAACACTCAGGGATGTCTACTGCTGCCCAGCTCTAATATCCACACAGTTCCTAGTACCAGAAGCTAACAGCCAAAGGGGAAATGCCTGACATGCAGCAAAAGCAAAGTAGTTGTGAGTTAGATGCTATGGGGAACACACACAAGGGAATGCTGGGTAGCTATGAGCATGACTGTAGACCAGACTACTTCCCTTTCACATGAACTTTGAAAATCTTACTAATAGGTAGGGAAGCAGGAGGGATGCAGGGGAGTATGACTATGAGAACAAAGGGAAGTGGTGCATATTTCAAAAGTGTGAGATGTCTATGTCCTCCTGAGGAGGAAGAGAGGGTTAGAAGGGAGACACACAGGCACAGTGGTGTTTGTAATACAGCAGAGCCCCCAGACAGAATTAATAAGTATTTGAGTCTTCATTGGGACTCGGAGAAGAAAAAGGGCCACCAAACCTTCCAGTGGTTTTAGGTGCTGAACTACAAGTTCCGAAGCTGGGGCTACAGTCCAGATGTTCTGAAGTCCAGATGCTCTATCCCATCCTGAGTTTCCCATGGAATGTCGTTATGTTTTGTTCACACTCCAGCCTTCTGGTGAGATAAGCTGTGGGACTCAGGCAGTGTCTACACTTGTGTTTACATATGGTAAGATCACTGCCATGACTTAAATTGTGTTGTCTAAAAAGATTTGTTGAGGCCAGGTGGGGTGGGGCATGCCTGTGATCCCAGCACTTAGGACTGAGAGTTCAAACCAAGTAATCATGTTGTAATTCTGCTCTGTGGTCTCTGACTATGCTCTTGTTTGGAAGGGCTGTGTAGGTGTGATGAAGTCAATAGGGCAACTGATGTCCTTGTAAGGGGAAGAAAGGCATAGACACAGTCGGAAAGAATACCACATGAAGATTGGAGATTGGATTGACTCTAAGGCAAATTCCAAGGGTTAATAGCCATCCCCAGGAGTGAGGGAAAAGGATTGAGAAAAGGAACTGAGCCTAGCCTGCACCTGGATTTCACACTTCTGCTTTCAAGAAATGTGAGATTAAACTTTTACTGTTAAGGCCAACTAGTTTGTGGTATGTTGCAACCTTAGGATACTTGGTCCCAAGGTGGGAGTTCCCCAGGCAAAGCCTTGGCCTATAGAGAGAACAGTGAAGTAGTCCTGGTACCCCACCAGCTTCCCCAGCTTCACTGACCTATTCAGCTATGCAGGGCTCTGGGGTGGCACCCTGTCTGGCCAGGAAATAGTTTTTCCTGAAGCCCTATTCCCCAAATAGGAAGGCTAAGTAAGAAGCACTAAAGAAAGAATTCAGCTCAGATTGGAGGAAGTGAAATATCATCAACAGCACATGATGCTAAGAGATGCCTGGGCATGCAGGAGCACTCACACACACCATGCAAAACCCAGTCCTTAAATCTGAAGGTAGGAGTGTGGACCAGGCACCCTCAGGTCCTCCTCCTGCCAGCCCACCTGCAGAAGGGGGGACAAGAAAGTGCAGTACTCTGTCAGTGCAGCTTTCCCTTAGCCCCTCAAGTAGCTGGGTTCACCAGCCTGTGCCACCATCCCCAACATGGGATTTCTCTGGTAGTCCTGACTGTCCTGGAACTCATTTTGTAGAGCAGATAGGCCTGAAATTCACAGATATCCCCCTGCCTCTGTCCCCTCGATGGTGGGATTAAAAGGGTGTGACACATATATTTTTGAAGCCTATTATTTTCACATGAGAGATAAAGGCAAATGAATCTCTGAGTTCAAGGGCAGCATGGTCTACAGAGTGAGTTTCAGGACAGCCAGGGCTCCATAAAGAAAGCCTGTCAATAATAATAAAAAAGTAATAATAAACAATTTTTAAAAGTGTGTATATGTATGTGTGCCTGGTGCCTGCAGAAGCTAGAAAAGGATAATGGGTATTCTGAAATTGAGTTACATATAGTTGTGAGCTGCCATGTGGCTGCTGGGAATCAGATCCAGATCCTCTGGAAGTGCAACAAGTGCTTTTAATCACCAGGTCACCTTTCTTATTACTTATTACCCATCTCAAAAAGAGGCGTAAAAAGAACAAAGCTCCAATAAAGTCCAGGAACTGTCTTTTGTGTGCTCAAGCAATACTTTGTCCCTTTTGCCTCTGTTCATTCCCCATTGGTCACCTGCGTTCCCACATAAAAGTGCATATTCTTTTAACAAAAAATATAAATAACTTGGTATAGTTCAGTTAGTAAAGTGATTGCCCAGCATTCATGAACTTCTTGGTGACACATGCCTGTAATCCCAGAACTAGGCAGGTGAAGGCAGAGATCAAGAATTCAGGGTCATTCTTAATTATATAGTGAATTCAGGGCTAGCTTGGGCTACATAAGACCTTGTCTCAAGGTCTTGTAGACAAGATAGCAAAATAGCAAGATAGAGCCAGTCATAGTGGCAATAGCATTTGTCTATAGTGACACCCACATGGGAGACCAAGCCAGGAGGGTCACTTGTGTCCAGGAGTTCAAGATCATCCTGGAAAACACACACACATTAAAACTGAGACTGTGGAGATGGTTCAGTGAATAAGAGCACAAGCATGAGGACCTAAGTTCATGATCCTAGTACTTTGAATCCCCAGAAACAAGCTAGCAATGGCTGCATGTGTTTGTAAACCAACCTTGAGGGTTGGAGACAGACAGCAGGATCCCAAGAACCTATCAGAAACAGTATGTTTCTGGTATGAGTTACTCCAACTCAAGGCAAGGCAGAAAGGCAGAAAGGCTAGAAGAAAACATCTTACGTCTTACTTAGTCCACTATATTCAGGCACATTTACCCACATAGTCAAATGCACATCACACACACACACACACACACACACACACACACACACACACGGAATGTATGTGTGAGTATGATAGGGGACCCTGCATGCCATGACACATGGGCAAAGGACAGAGAACAACTTTACAGTTGTTATTTCCATCCATCTTCATGTGGATCCCAGGAATCCAACTCGAGTCATTAGGCTTATGTGATAGGATAGCAATTGCCTCTGCTCATTGAGCTGTCCCAATGGCCAAAACACATTTTAAAGATCAGACTAATGTAGTTTCTAAACCCAATTGCTTGTGAGTTATTATAAAATACAGGTAAAGGGGGATTTAGGAGCCAGGGGTGTAGCTCAGTTAATAGTGCTTGCCAAATATACCTAAGGCCCTAGGTTTGGTCCCCAGAGCTGAAAAAAATTTAATAGAAAAACATCTCACATTTTTTTTTATGTGCATTGGTGTTTGACCTGAATGTATGTCTGTGTGAGGGAGTTGAATCTACCAAAATCTGAGTTACAGACAGTTGTGAGCTGCCCAAGTGGGTGCTGGGAACTGAACCCAGGTCCTCTGAAAGAGCAGCTAGTGCTTTTAACCACTGAGCCATCTTTCCAGCCCTGAAAAAAATATTGGTACTGGTTGTCCAGGCTAGTGGTAGTCAACCTGCCTTACAAGTGTGAGACTTAGGGTTTGATCCTGATACAAAAAAAAAAAAAAAAAAAAAAAAAAAAAAAGAAGAAGAAGAAAGAAAAGAAAGAAAAAAAATTTATATTTACAATTCCAGGCACACAGTGAGTTAAATTTGTGGATGTATTGTTTGTAATACCAGTGTAGGCATTGTTATTTACAGATGCCTAACTGGGCAGGTCTGAGTAGAGCATTGATACCTGCCTCTGTCCCTCCACACCTTCCCATGAGTGCCACCACCATGCCGCAGTGACCTGTGTTGCTCTATTATTTAGTACAGAGGCATTTGTTCATTAAGGAGTACTTTCCATGCTATGGGAGATTTTTTGTTATTTGCTTTTTGAGACAGAGTTTTCAATGTGTAACAGCCCTGACTGTTCTGCAGATTTATTTGTAGACCATGTCGGCCTCAGAGATAGGCCTGCCTCTGCCTCTGCAGTGTGTGCCACCATGCCTGGCTCCTGTGGGAGTCTTGACATAATGGCACTGGGGTCTGATATGAGACTCCATGCTCTGAGTGTAAGGGGTGTGTGTGTGCTTTGTAAATGGCTCAAGTCTGGTACAAAGTAACAGTGAAGGAAAGGGATACAAAATGCCACCAGCACCTGGGGATGGGGAAGGTATTTGCTGGTCCAGATCTACCCAAAAGAGCCTGACACTTGCTCAAATTAAAAACATGGCTACACTTACCATCTTGTATTGGTAAGTCATAAGGGTAGGACTACAGCTTTTCTTTGCTTAGAGAAGTAGAAAATAAAGCTATGTCTTACAATCAGTAGACCTCAGGATAAATGAAAGTTAATGTATAAATACTGAGGTGGGAAGTGGTGTACATTATGAAAATGTACTTACCACCCATTCCACAGACAATGCTTTCTAAGCTTTTATGTGCACATGTCTATGTGAGCATATGCTTCCTGTATATATGTGTCCATCTAGGCCAGAAGAGGGTTACAGTTGCTGGTAGGTGTGCTTACTATGGCCTAAACACAGTATACCCTCCAGGGAAAATCACCCTGCTCTACCCCAAGCCTGCCTCATGGTGTTTTACGTCATTTTTTATTTCAGAACTTCAATATAGACACACAGTTAAGAATAACTCATCACTATTATCTGGAGCCAAATAGTATTACTACAAAACAAACCAAGTTTGGCAGGATCATCAGGGAAAGAAGGGAAGTTTATAGTTTTTCATAAATACCTTTATTTATAGGTTTTAAGTGAATGTGGGAAGTCTCGGATTTTCAATTAAAAAAAAAAAAAAAAAACCTCACCCAGATGCAGAAAGAGCCCAGAGGGCACAGCAAGCAGCACAGGTCTGTTTACCCACATTCCTTCAGAGTGGGGACAGTGACAGAGTCCCAGCCCTTCCAGTGGGAACATGCATGTAATTATTCTACAAATATGGAGGCACTGGTGAAGAGGTGGGGTAGTTGGCAATTAGGGCTTTGAACTCCTAAAGGATATTTTATTTAAACGGAGACACATGTAGCCAAACTGACCTTGAACCTCTGATCCTCCTGCATCAACAGGAATGCTAGGATTACAGGTATGTACCACCATGGCCAGTGTAATTTGATACTGGGGATCTAACCATGGTTCCTTCCATGCCTGCTAGATGAACACTCTGATGAGTCACATTCCCAGCCCTGTCCTAGGGAAATCTTGGGAACTAGTTTGAGTTGCTCAGGCAGAAGCAGAGCAACTCAACTTTTCAAAATTGTAGCATTCCTAACTGGGCAGCCACCTTCGATGGATGGAAAGCCCATGTTGCTGCCTGAACTGCTGGGGGTGGTGATGAGACCACCAGGATCTCAGGGGACTCTGCTGCTGCTGGTAGATACACTCACGTTTTATTCTTCTCTTCAACTGTTTCTGCAACATTCTCTGCAGTAAGAATCTCAGGGCCACTTAGCACCTGCAGTCCATGGGAGAAAACCTTTCCCTGGGGAGCCTAGCAGGTACCACACATCTGAACCAAGGAGAGGCAGCTTGGATCAAAGGGACCCAGAAATGTTATGTGGCCTCATTAGGGAATTCGCTGGGTGCTACCCTGCATTCTCCATCTTTACAGACAGACAACTATGCAGCGACCCCTCCAGACCTTCCTGACCATGGTCACTGAGCTGCTGACCTCTGCCATATGCCTTGTAGTCCTGGTTGGCCTTAGTGTCCTGGGATCTGAGTGAGACAGAAGGGTCACTGGAAAACTTTCCCCTAGCTGCTGCACCTTTAAGGAGCCTTGCAGATGACTCATCACTTGGTGAGCTCTTCTCACAAGCCACATAAGCAGAGGAGGCTGAGCGGGCATGGCTGCCCTGGTGGCGCACCAGCCAGGAGCGACAGGTGAAGCTCTTGCCACACTGGCCACAGGTAAAGCACTTCTCTTGAGAGTGGCTGCGTAGATGGCGTAGGAAACTGGGCTTGTGCGTGAAGCATGAGCCACACTGGGTACACTGGAAAGCATGCTCGCCCGAGTGCACACTCTGGTGCACTGTTAAGTTGGCCAGGCGTGTAAAACGCTTGTCACACTGGGTGCATGGAAATGGTTTCTCACCCGTGTGTGTGCGCCTATGTTCCACCAGTGTGGACAGACGCCCAAAACGACGGCCACACTGTGCACATGGGAAGGGCCGCTCTCCGGTGTGAGTGCGCTGGTGCTCTAGCAGTGTGGACAGGCGGCCAAACCGCTTCTCACACTCAGCACATTTGTAAGGCTTCTCCCCAGTGTGTATGCGGTAGTGCGTGGTAAGTGTTGACTGATGGACAAAGCTCTTGCCACACTGGACACAGGTGTAGGCACGTTGGGCTGTGGGTGCATGGCGGTTCCTGGTAAGAGTGACCTGCTGCGTGGCACTCTGGGGGCACTGGAGACTGGTAAAGGGCTGGGATCCATGGTGTGGGTGCTCATGCTGAGTGCTGAGCTCTTTGACAATGAAGTTCTGGCCATTCTCAGTGCCCTCAGTAGCTGGCACAGGCTGACTCTGAGAGCCTGGGGGGAGGGAAGACACCTCTCTTTCTTTGAAGACAGGGAGCAGATCCCTACAGGTTTTCCTCTCGAGGTCCTCTTTGTGGGGTCTCCCTTCAGTTGCCCAGGCTGGCTCCTGTACCATGGACTCTCTTTCCAGGTTCCTTTTGTTGGCTCGCCAGGTCTCTGGTGGGAGGAGAGATAGCAATGAGTCATCTCTGCCACAGACTCTGGAGCTATGCTAACTGATCCCCTCTGTTCTTTGGTATGGAAGTCCTGAGGCTCACATGAGCTTGTCACTGAAGGCCCTCATTCTGGCCCTAACCCACTTGCCTTCTGCCAGAGGCCCACTTTGTACCATCTACATGCATCCAATGCCCTTGCAGCTAAGCTGTGTGCCTCTGCTCATGGTCTCTTCTCATCTGTACTTCAACAGCCTCCCAAGGCCAGCTCCCCAAAAGCCCTGATCTGTGCCACCAAGACCATGTATGAGATAATCCCACCACCATCACATCCTGATTACAGAAGGCCTTCACCTGTAAATAGATTCTAAATGTGCCTTCTGAGGATACTGTCCACAATTTTTATCATTCTCAAAGTGTTCTCTGGCTCAGACATGGTTTCTTCTTCCTATGTTGTGGCTGTCTTTCTCTTAACTAAAGAGTCCTTGTGAGGATGGAGATTTGTGTCCTATGCATCAGTCAGCCCTTGCAGTGGCCATCTAACACCATGCCAGCTATAGGGCATGAGGCAGAGCCAGGACACATTCATGTAACTGTGGGATGCTGTCCACAGCAAACACAGCACGGAGACAATACGACAACACAGGATACTTGCTTACTGCCACTTCCAGACATGAATACAGAAGCCCCCATCCCCCCCAGATGTTCAGAGACCCAGATGTGCAGCCTGTCCCTGGGCCTCACCTGAGCATAGATATGCACTGGTTGTCTCCCGAAGGCTATTCTCATGTGCTTCTTCCTCTTGCTTAATCCAGGAAAGAACACTTGGGGCAGATTCCAGCTGGCCTGTTTCTAAGAAAAAGAGAAGAAGCTCCAGGGGCATCAGATGTCATGGCCTCTTTACTGTGACAGTCTCTATCCAGGACCAGTAACCACAAGAAACTCAACAGAACCACAGGACCCAGCAAAGGCAGAACAAGTACATACTGGGATTTCTGGTAAGACTAAATCAAGAGAACAAGGGTGCATAGCTTCTGAATGACCAGTGGTAGCTTGTGACCAAGGGCCAGCAGCCTTTTATCACTACCACCCCTTTCTGTAGGAAAAAAACAGATCCCTCCAGAATACAGACCATGTTTCTAGAATATTTCTTCAAGCAGATAACATGATGTAAATTAAAGGCTCACTTTTCCAGCTACATGATCTCTGATAGTTTACCTAGCCTCTCTGTGACTTAGTATCTTCATCTATGCATATGAAAAGACAAAAACCTACAAGAGATTTAAATGGATCAATATTTATATTTAGTGTATAACCACTAACTTTGTTTGTTAAACTGGAAATAAATGCATTATTCCAAGAGAAAAAGGGAAAACCTTTCTCTCTTACTAGCTTTTTGTTGTTTTTTAAAACAGGGCTCTGACTTTCCTATAACTTGCTTTGTAGACCAGACTGGGACTAAAGTTTTGTGCCACTCACTATACCCAGCTCCTGTGAGGTTTTGGTAGTGGTGGTGGTTGTTGTTTTGAGACAGGGTCTCACTATGTAGACCAGGCTGGCCTTTAACTCACAAAGTTCCCACTGCTTCTGCCTCCTGAGTGTTGGAATTAAAGGTGTGCACTACCATGCCCAGCTTCTGTTACCTTGAACTGTAGTGGCAAGGCTACTCCATAGGAAAGGCAGAGAGCAACACGTTGAAAGGCACTTGAATCTGTGACACCTTGAGCTGCCAAATAAGCCTGTCAGAAGTGAGAAACCATCTTGTCTAAGCTGTTACTGCAGTATTTGGGTGTGGGTTTTATCAGTCTGTTTGGCAACCAGGTAACACAGTACCCTATGGTAGGTGTCCTGCAAGGGCCAAGTGACCTCCTAGTCTGTTCCAATCTCTAAGCCCAACATCCATACCACAGCCACAATACATCATGCATTCCTCTCCCTGCAATAAATGTTAAAAACTTTAAAAAAAAAAAAAGTGAAACCATTTCAAGCCACAGCTATCTAGCTACCAACCATATACTCAGTATTGTTCTAGTATTGACTCTGAAATACAGGATCATCATTCCATTGTTCTGGAGGCACCTGTGATCCAGTAATACTGAGAAGAGCTGCCTTTGCAAACTTCTAGAAAATAAAGCAAGCTTACACCAAATGACAGTGAAGAAACTAACAGGATGGAGTGACTGCTAAAACAGCAAGGATTATTCAAGGCTAGGCAGTCCTAAGTCCCCTAAGTCGCCACAGGCACTTCCAGGGACAAACCAGCCAAGCCAGCCTCTGATTTGCAATCTGCTTCCTGACCACACCTACCATGGGGCCCCAAGCCCCCTTATTATACCATAGGAAGGGGAAGCCACCAATCACTAAGCAAGCTTTCCTGACCCTTTTTATACCTCCCTAACCACTACTGGCTGATTTCTGTATCCTGGTACTCTGCCCTCCCTATGGGTACTCTGCCCCCACTCCTCCAGGGACCCCAAAACACTTTTAACCTTACTGTAAAAATCTAAAAACAAGGAAAAGTGGCTTGAGAAAGGGTTCTTACAGAGAACCTGGGTTTGGTTCCCAGTACCTATATGGGCATTCTCACCACTGACCTTTAACTCCATTTCTAGATCTAACATCACATGTGTGCAGTGCCCCCACACATACACAGGTACACACACTCACACACACACACACACACACACACACACACACACACACACACACACACACACGGAATGGTACCTTGGTTAACCTTTGTGTTCTGAGAAAAGAGGGAATCTGGGAATCCCTTTCAGTTAAGAGTGGTCCCTTCTATTGTCTTTAATTTTTTAACTAAGGGTTTCTTCACCTTTCAAAAAGCCAGGGTGGTTCACACTTATAATACTGAGGCTGAGGTAGGAGGCACAAGTTCGAGGCCAGCTGGAGATACTCAGTAACTTCCAGGCCAGCCTGAGTTATAGTAAGATCTTATCAGATAGGGGGAAATGGCTGCAGCTGTGACTCAGTGGGAGGGGACTCCCCTAGAATTCACAAGGTTCAATTTCTAGCATTTGGAAAGCAAAGGAAAGAAAACAGCTTTGCAATCTCCATTCCAGCCTGGTGCTATTACCTGAGAGAGAGAATGAAAACTGACCCAGTACTCATTCATTGTGTATCACCCTAGTGTGTGACAGGCACTGTGTGGAGGGGAAACATCAAACTAAGGCTTAGCTCCTTCCCTGAAGAGGGCACACCCTTAGGAAGCAGGGGAAAGAGCTGGGCCATGGACATAGAAAGGGCCTCATCTGCCTCACCCTTGACCCTTCTCACAGTTCCTCAACTGATTATCAGAATTCAGTGGTGTACCAGGAGTAGGCATAGCTACAAACTAGGTCCTAGGGGGACAAACATAAAATAGAGAAGCCTCTACTCTACAGGATGAACTTGGAGGAACTGGACAGTGAGGAGTAGATTCTAATCTGTATGTCTTCACTGAAGCCCTGGATAAGCAATTTGACCTTTCTGCAAGCCCTAGGATGATATAAGAGCTGGGATGTAGCCATGAGATTCTAGATCTAATTAAGTCTCACATAAAAACACACATCTGCACACTTGGCTGGAGGACCTAATATTTACTGCTAGCCCTCAATTCTCAGACCTGAGATACCTTTACAAAACATGCCCATGGGACTGGAGAAATGGCTTAGTGGTTAAGAGCACTGAATGCTCTCCTAGAGGACCCAGGTTTAATTCTGAGTACATACATGGCAGCTCACAACCACCTATAACTCTAGTTCCAGGGCATCCAATGCCTTCTTCTGACCTCTGCAGGTACCAGGCATGCATATGATACACAGACACATATGCAGGCAAAACAACCCATATATACGAAATAGATGCAGATCTATATTTAATTCTAAGATGGGAATTAAGGGTACCTTTTGCCAGCTCCTAAGACAGAGGACCAATCTGCTCTGGCTCTCAGATCCAAGAGCCTCAACACACTGAGGAAAAGAATGAAAACATATTTGGAAGCCTTTGAGATTGTCTCTTACCCAGAGAACCTAGCACCTCATGGCTCTCTTTTGCTACATGTTTGCAGAGTTCCTTCTGCCAGTCTTCTGGGCTGCCTTCCTGTTGCTCGGGGAAACACCCAGCCACTGCTTCAGTAGTAACAGAAACCTGGAAGAATACAAATCCCACACCCCTTCAGAGAATAGCCAGAAATAGCTCTGAAATTGTGACACTACTGACCAAATGCTAGCTCCTGCCCACCACATTTCCATAGAAAAGCATCCTCCCAGCTCCTGCACATACCTGCATCTTCTGCTGGAAGCTGAATGGGGATGCTTTCTGTAAAGTTCCTGTACTTGAACCAGTCATCACTCTCAAAAAGTCATTCTGGGGCCTTCCCTTCTAGCCCATCTCCATCCCTTTGTGTCAGCTGCTGATGGGAGGAAAAACCCTACTCCTTACGAGCTGCCCATACTCAAACACTTTCTACCCAAAGACCCCCAGTGGCTACACCAGGCTAAGATGCAGATCAGTGCCCCACTCAGCCGTCATCAGAGAAGCTTCTTCCTCTAGTAGGTGGGAACTAACAGAAGCCCACAATGGGACAATGTACAGAGAATGAGAGACTTTGGAGCACTCAGTCCTAAATGGAATGCCTTTCAACAACCCCCTCTCCTCAAGGCTCAGGGATCTATGTAGAAAAGTGGGAAGAAAGATTGTAAGAGCCAGATGATGGGCAACTCCCAAGGAAACAGTGTCCTCCAGACATAGCAAGATTAATGCATGTATGAACTCAAAGAGATTGGCAGCATACACATTACCAGTACAGGTTCAAGGCAGATGGAAGTCCCACCCCAACTAAGAAGCTATCACTGGGTATATTAACCACATGCCATAGCAGGCCCCATTTCTAGAAGTTGGCCAACATAAAACAAACTCAATGGTATTTTTATACTTTGTTTAATTTTGCTTTGTTTGAACATTTTTTTGTCTTATTAGTCTTTTGCTTGCTGTTTTATTTTTGTGGGTTTTTTTTGTTTTGTTTTGTTTTGTTTTTGTTTTTTGAGACAAGATTTTTCCATGTAGCATTGGAGCCTGTCTTGGAACTCGATGTATACACCAGGCTAGCCTCTACCTCCCAAGTGCTGGGATTAAAGGCATGCACTACCATTGCCCAGCTGTTCTCTGTTTGTTTGGTTTTTTTTTTTTTGTTGTTGTTGTTGTTGCTGTTATTCTTTAAAGAAAGAGAAAAAGAATGTAAAGTTGGGTGGGTAGGGAGTTAGGAAGGATCTGGGAGGAATTGGAGGAGGAGAAAACATGATGAAATTATATGAAAAAAAATTTTTTTTTGTTTTTTGTTTTTTGTTTTTTGAGACAAGGTTTCTCTGTGTAGCCCTGGCTATCCTGGTACTCTGTAGACCAAGTCAGAGATCTACCTGCCCCTATCTCCTCAGAGTTGGGGTTAAAGGCATGTGCCACCACTACCTGGCAGAACAATTCTTTTCAACTAAAAACAAACAAAAACAAAAACAAAAAAAAAAAAGGTCATTCTGAAATAAAACAACTGTTGCTACCCAAACATATCCTTCCCAGCAACTCACTCTACTGCCTACACAGGCACCTTTCCAATGTCTCACTCTCCTTTTGACATTTTTAAAAGCTCTTTAAGGTTCATTGTGACTATACTGGAAGCCTTTCTTCATTCTATGAATACCTTGGGGGCTTCATCCTTGCTGCTAGTGGGCAGCCTTGGGACCCAGGAGTTCCGGTTTTGCATCTGGTTCTCCAGGTTCTCCAGCCGCCGCTGCAGCAGCCCGTACTCCTGCAGCAGAGTCCCCAGCACGGCCCACTTGCCCTCCAGCTGGCTGCTGAGCTCCATGGCTGTCTTCTCACAGTCAGCCAGCCTCTTCTCAGCTGACCCTGTTCGTATTTCCAGGCTTTGAAGATGGACAACCTGGGACTCTGTTTTCTTCTCCACAGCTTGAACAGCAGCCATGATGGCTAAAAGGGAAATCTCTGCAGACTGGATCTGGACCTGTTGTTGGAGGTCAGACCCTACATGCCAGTCCTATGACCAAAGATAAAGAGATGGGTTAGCTTCCAGAGGAAGGCCAAGAACTGTTCTCAAATACAGTAAGATCAAGATCTGCTGGGATGGGCTCAGACTTCTCACTGGCTAGATCCCAGACAAAGACAATAGACACTAGACCCCACAAAACCTTCACAGGAAGACTACTGAACCTAGACCTATTGCAATGAAAAAAAAAAAAAAAATAGTGAGCATTCAAGTATACACCGGATTTAATCTTGTTCTGTTGTGTAATATTTGTTTGACTATGCGAAGATGTGTTGCTGTTTTACCTTGCCTGCCTAAAGCACCTGCTTGGTCTAATAAAAAGCTGAATGGCCAATAGCAAGGGAGGAAGTAGAGGCAGGACTTTCTGGCAAGGAGATTAACTAGGAGGAATTTAGGCTCAGGGAGAAGAAAAGAGACAGGGCCAGACAGACATGGAGGAAGAAGGAAAGCAGGGCATACAGAATAAAAGGTAAAGTCCTGAAGCAAAATATAGATGAACAGAAACAAGTTAAGTTAAAAAGAGTTAGTGAGACAAGTCTAACCTAAGGCCAAGCATTCATAATCAGTAAGTCTCCATATCTTTATCTGGGAGCTGGTTGATGGCCAAAGAAAACCCCCACTACACTGCTCTCCTTACATTAGTTCTGTCAGTTATTTAATCACCTTTCCTTCTCTGGGGGACACAGGCCAACAGCAAGGTCACAAAACCTGTGTGCCTGATAGCAATCTCAGCCCTCCCCCCCCAGAATTTCTCCATGTCTCCTTGGCTGTCCTGGAACTTGATCTGTAGACCAGGGTGGCCTTGAACTCAGAGATCCACCTGCTTCTGCCTCCCAGGTGCTGGGATTAAGACATGCGCCACCAGCAGCAGCACCAGCACCCTCCCCTCTTCTTACAGCAGCTTTCCCCAAAGTGCCGCTGTTCTGACTTCAGTGATCTCTAAGCATTGGATGACTCACCTAATGCCGTGTGATGCTAATGCTTGAGATACTAGGTGTCTTAGTTAGGGGTTCTATTGCTGTGATGAAACACCATGACCAAAAGCAACTTGACTAGGAAAGTTTATTTTGCTCACACTCCACCTCACTTGTATCACTGAAGGAAGTCAGGGCAAGAACTCAAAATGGACAGGAGCCTGGAGGCAGGAGTTAAAGCAGAGGCCATTGAGGAGTGCTGTTTAGTGGCTTGTTCCTCATGACTTTCTCAGCCTTTCTTAGAGAATGCAGGACCACTAGCCCAGATGTGTCCCACCCACAATGGGCTGGGCATCCCCACATCAAACATTAGTTAAGAAAATACCCTACAGGCTTGTCTACAGGCTCATCTAATGGAGGCATTTTCTCAGTTGAGGTTCCCTCATCTTCAGCTTGTGTTAAGTTGGACATGAGTTTTCTGTGACGGAGGCACCTCATCAACCAGCCCCTGAATAGTCACTACACTGGAAGGCTAGACCTTAGCTGCCAGTAAGCGGGGACCAGAGAAAGCTGAAAGCCAGTATCTTAGTCAAAAGGAAATACCCCTCCCCAACAATATGCTGTCTAAAGGAGGTGGACAATGTATCATGCATAACTGTAAATAATAAGACAAAGAGCAAGGAGTTCCTATGTGGGGACAGCAGATAAGTCCTGGAGTGGGCCTCCTTCCAGAATTGAATTCTGAGCAGTTTGAGGCAAAGATACACAATTCTCCTAAGGCTCTGTTTTCTCAATTACAAGGACATCATGACTTTCCTATCCCTTAGGTGGTGACGGATGAAATAAGCTACAGGTATGAAAAAGCACTCAGGGTGTATGACATTCCCTTATATTACTAATAAACATGAAGGTTTCAGACCACAGACCAGAATGTTCTATATATTACACCAAAGGCTACAGTTAATCAAATTCTGTGACACTAACTTTCCCAAGACATCGTTCATAAAAAGATACAGCAAAGTGCCCCACACAATCCGATACTTGTCACTGATGCCTATCTTTTCCTCCCTTCTATTGCAGCACTATCCTGCGGTCTGACCACTCATCCATACAACAAAATATGGCTGGGAGGAGGCAAGCAGTCTCCACAGACAAGGGTCAAATATCTTTGTGTCTCTGTGACCCTTGCCACAAATCTGGCATCTAGAAATATCTCTGAAGTCACTGCAAAGCTGTTCCTAGCAGATGACCTCTACCTTCAGAGACATCATCCCAACAGTTCACTCACAGGAGTTGGAAGGCAATAAGTCAAGACTGAGCCTAAAACACGCACACCTAACCAACATCCTCTATAGCGATGGTCCCCCCCACCCCAACACACACACACACCAGCTGCAGTAATAGTCTTCCTGTGGGTTATTGGGAAATAGCAGGGGAGCGTGTATGCATCCAGCCTGAATAGCATCGAATTCAAACCTGAAAGGACGTGGAACCCCTGAAGGTAGGGACAAGATTATAGCTCCCAGGACCAGGAGGGTTAGTTGGAGGGAACTTAGCTCAGGAATAGATCTGAGATGGCCAATAATTGCAAGGGGAGGCAAGAGATCCCCGAAAATGGGTCATGATGCGTTAAAAAACGTCCACAGCTGGTGCATCCGGCCCAGGCATTTCCTGGTTAACCTCAATTGGCTCGTGTTATGAATAATCAAAACCCGGACAAGAGACAGGAGCTTTATCCTGTGGGCATAGGCGCCCTACTCTTCCTCCCTGAGACCCTGGCTTGAGTCCTACCCAATTTTAGGAGGTGGTAAAATGTCTTCCCAGAGAATTCAGGAGCCTTCGCATCCCCCACAAGGTCGGTGCGGACCACCCTTACCGGAGCAGCGGCCGCCTCGGTCATGGCTGCGCTAGATCCTGCCTCGTCCCAGAATAGCCACTGCAATCCTTGCCCACACGCACCAGACTCGGAAGGCAGTCCGGAGCAAATTGCCTCGGAACCGAGTATGCAGAGTCGTGATCCCGCAGCGTCTCAGCTGCAGCTCTTCTGCTCCCGCGACTGGATCACAGGCCCCACCCGCTGCACGCAGGCTCCCCATTAGCTAGCCTTGGAGGCTCCGCCTCCTAGCTGCACAGAGCCCAGACTCTATTGGCGAGTCCAAGTACCAACCCCACAGCGTGCGCTGGCGCAGTGTCTCAGCCCCTCAGGTGTGAGCACCAGGTGTCTGGCTCATTTAGCCTGTGAAGTCCACCTGTGTTGAGCCTTGCAATCCACTGGAGTCAGCAGCTCAGACTACCCAGTACAAACTAGGGCACAAGCACACAGTTTAAGCAACGTGTTTACAGAGCACCGATTAGGCTAAGATTGCCACCTTCATAGTTCTTAGAGCCATTTCTTTGTTTTAAAAAATGAGGGCTCCAGAAGTGTCTGGAGTCCATCGCTGGGCTCCTGAAACAAGCAGCCTTCGTTCATTCTTAACCCAAAACATCCTTCAACAAGTCCCACTGAATACCAGAACAAAGTAAGCACAGTTGGGCATGATGGCTCAGGCAAGTACATCTTAGCCTTCTGCAGGTAGAGGAAATAAAGTCACAAAAGCCCAAGATCAACTAGGGTTACAAAGCACCACTTTCCCCACCCCTAGCACTTGTATTTGTGCTTCAGATGTAGAGTACTTTTTTCCAGGGGGCATTTCACATTAGAAAAGAGGCCTAAGAACCTTAGCTCCGCACCTCCAGAACAGCAGCAGTGAGCTCTTGTAGCTGAGGATTATGCTTCAGACAGATATACTGTGTGCATCCTGTCTGAGCCTTTACTGACAGCTGTTGTCTTGCTTGAGAGGGTGTGCAGGCAAATAGGACCCAGAACCATGGCTGAACTGCCACAGGCTTGCTTACTTATCCCTGTCCTGGAGAATGATGGCAGTGCTACCCTCTGCCTCATCTGTTCAGGGCTTTTGAGAGTCAAGACTCTAAAGGACATCAGGAAATAGCACAGCCAGTTGAAGGCACCTGGGAGCCCTCCTGACTGTGCCCTGGTGTCTGAGTGCCAAACGAAAGCAAGCTATCAGGAGAGCTGGGACCCACCAGACTGTCTAGGCAGCTCCCAACATGGTGTAGCAACGAATCAGCCACCCTCAAGACTATGTAGTTTGACACTGTGTCTTCAGCCTGGGTTTTTGAAGGGCCCATGAAGTACCAGCTCAGCTAGAAAAGTCCTCCTTGAAGGAGTCTGCCTGGGGGAAGAGCACAAGGTCAGCTAAGAAGAGAAGAGACCAAACTTGAAAGAAAGGAGACAACTAGGCACATATGTCTGTGCCGCTTTTGATACAGACAACTCTAAGGTGACTTCCTTGGCCTGTTTTCTTTGTCAGACAAGAAACATGAGGCTCAAGAGAGCTGAAGAATTCCCTAGCTTCTGCTACAGAGTCTCCCAGGCAGGGGCTTCCTGTACAATTTTCTTCGTGCACTTTTGCAAGCCTGTCACACTGGGTCAACCACGGTATCAACCTGACACCTGAGAGGGGTGGTCCATTCCTAGCTTCCATCTCCTTTACAACTCCTAGTAAATGTAGTAATGGATGTGGCTGCCATGTGAGGGAAAGGCAGAGAAGACTGTGAGCCACTCTAGGCATTTAAAACACCCTGGGAATTGTGTTTTCAGAACAGCACAGCATCCAAGCCATCCCCACCAAGACAGGCCTGCACTAAGCAGGCTCTCCCACCCTGCCAGCACCACATAGAGAAGGCAGCAGAAAGTTCCTGTCTCTTAGGCCTCAAATCTTGAAGAAAAATCTTAAAGTAACACTAAAAAATAAAAATTTAAAAGTGCAAACTTCCAGTGCCTTCCCTTAGCCATCTGTGCACCCTGCTTTGTTCTCAAGTAGACTGCAGATTTTTATCCATTCAAACTGCCCCCAGCCCCCAGACCTCTTGTCCCATTCTGGAAGAGACAAAAATCTCTGTTCCTACTGACTGAGGTACCAGCCAAAGATCCTACTTTAAACCTCAAAGAATCTTTCACAAGTCAGGAATGCCCAAAAGAGAGGAATTAGAAGATGGAGGCACTCTGTCACATACCTACAGTCACCAAAAGGGTGACTTCTCCCCATCTGAACAGAACAAAAACTCTCTAAAGCCATCCCAGAATGAGGAACCAGTGTCAGGTTGGGCACAAGGGAAAGGCTCTGAGTGCAGATCCTGCCGGGTACATGGCAGGCTCCTGTGGTCATTCTTCCTCTTCAGGGCTGGGCTCCCCAAGTGGACAGAAGACATGAGGAAATGCAGGCTCGCCTGGCCTCAGGAGTGGGTCTGCATGTGGACAGTCAGGTGGTGGTTCCTGTTGAAGGCCCGGTCACACTTGGGGCACTGATAGGGACGCTCGCCGGTGTGGATGCGCTGGTGGCGAAAGAGGTCTGAAGGCCGGCGGAAGGCCTTGCCACAGTAGGAGCAGGCAGGCCAGCCTTGCTTGTTGCCTGTGTGTTGACGCTGGTGAAGTATCAGGGACTTCCGCTGCTGGAAGGAGCGCAGGCATTCACTACAGTGGTAAACCTTATCTGCTGACCTTTGTCCCATAAAAGCATTGCTTGCCAGGGAACGGCAACTTGTGGGATCCCCAGGTAGCCAGCAGATGACAGGGCCAGGAACCACTACCTCCCCTGGTTCCAGTGTGGAGCGGCTGTCCCCTGACCCAACAGGCAAGCCACTCTGAACCTCCTCCTTGTTCTCCTCCTCTTCTACATGGGTCCGCTGATGGATTGTCAGATTAATCTTTAAGCGGAAGGTCTGCCCACAGTCAGGGCATGGGAATGCCCGCTGCCGTTGTCGAGGAAGAATACGGGGTGGCTCTTCCACAGCCTCTGCTGCCTGGGGCTCCCTAATCTGTACCCTAGACACTTTCTGGGCATGATCCTGTCTGGGGCCTCCAGTCTTGTTCCTGGGCCTTTTGTGGACTCTATACATGGACTGGCTTGGGGACTCTGGAAGCTGTTGCTCAGGTTCATGCTCAGACTGGGCTTCTGTCTTGATGGCCACAGCACCACCACCTGGCAAAGGAATCATGACTAGTTCCAAGGGGACCGCATGGCTCCCCTTGCCCACCATTTGTTTCAGGTCTTGTTCCAGGTTCAAGCCTCCTCTCCCTTCCCCAGTTGCTATGAGTGCCATGAAAGCAGGGTCAGGGGTCCCACTCATAGACACCATGGGGCAGACACTGCCTCATGGATTATTCAACTTTGTTTGTTGTCTTATGCTCATTCCTAGAAGACGAGCTAAGAACAGCAGAGAAAGCAGAAAACTTCAGAAGCCAACAGGAGTCAGGGACCCTGTGGAATTCAGGATTTAATTCTGGGAGACAGATGGGTGGGGCTGTAAGAGCTGGCTCTGAAGCTATGGCAACCGTGCTACCAAGGCCCTAGTGTTATGATAACATTTACAACCAAAGAAGAACAAGGAGCTCATGGCCCCAACTACTCCCAGACCATGATTAAGAAGCCTTGTAGGTCATATGTGGCTGTAATAGCAGCACTCAGGACGCTGAGATGAGAGAGACGCTACAGATAAGCCTTGGCTACACAGTGATTTTAAAGCCAGCCACCCCATCTCAAAAAAAAAAAAGTGCTGTGTGGCCTAAGGGACGGGAGAGGGTCCACCAGAGTCTGTGACTCCTGCAGGTCTCACCTGATACAAGGGTGGGACTGAGACAATTCAACTGCAGGGACAGAGCCATGAAGAGCACAGGCTGAAGTAAGGATAGTGGTTCCCAGGTGCAGAGAATAAAGGATCTTGTCATTGACCCCTAGCAGAAAAACATGGACTTCAGGTAAAGGACCTACACTTAAACTATAGGTTAACATGCAAAATGCCAGATACCTCACAATATTACTGTTCATATGGAGTAGACCATATGAACAGCCTTTCTACCACTAGCAGACCATAGCTCAAACATGCAGCATGTCCTCACACAGTAATTTCCATCTGGCCAGTTGACCACAGACTGACTGCTACTCTCAAATGGCCCTCTGAGTTTTTATGAGGCTCTGCCACAACCACAGATGTCTTCCCCTTTCACTCACCTGGCCCTAAAGAAGGCAGGCTGTCTGTGGGAGGGCAGGGTGGCAATCCTCCCTCAGTAGAGTCTCCCTCTTGTTTAATTGGTGAAGTGTTGGTGCTTGCTGGAATCCCTGTGAGAGGGAGAATCAGATGAGGGTCATTCCTAACACAAGTATCACAGGAGACATAGCCATTTCCCAGCAGGTCCTGAACATGCTTACAGACCTGTCAGGAAGAAGAGATCTTTAGGCTTCCATCTGGAGGGCTTTTGAGATAGGAACAGAGCTATGAAGGCCACATCCCCAATCCCTCGTAGGCCCAGGCTCACAACGTGTCCCTCCACATACATCGCCTTCATCAGCCTCAAAATAACAAAAGGTTTGGAAAGGTCCAGGACAGAGTCCCAGGTCTGTGGCAGGCAGGGACACTATCCTCCTACCTGTGGTCCCGCCTCACAAATTCTATGCATCCAGCTTGAGCTCACACACTGGCTGGGAGGGACACAGAGAAGGGAGAAGTCATGTGCTATAGGGGAAATGCAGAGGCACCACTAGAAGGAAGGGGCAAGGATTGGAAATGAGGCCAGCATCAAGAAGGAAGAGATGGTTCAGCGATTAAAGAGCACATCTGCTCTTCCAGAGGCCCTGAGTTCTTAAGGCTCAGTAACCACATGGTGGCTCACAACCATCTGTAATGAGATCTGTTGCCCTCTTCTGGCCAGCAGGCAGACATACAGGCAGAATACTATATACACAATAAATAAATAAATCTGTAAAAAGAAAAGAAAAAAAAAAAAAGAGAGAGAGAATAGGGAAGAGAAGTAAGCACAGCTAAGTGCATGAAGCTCAGTGCCTTCAGTCAGTCTCAGAAAAGGACCAGCAGGGACTGCCTATAAACAGGAACAGACACAGAATCCTGGATGATTGAAAAAAGTCAGAGTTCTCAACAGGGTTTCAGAATACTGAGAAACTGTGGCATGCCAACCTAGCACCACACTGAAGGTAGGAAACAGACCACCATGTTGACATGGCCACTGTAAAAGTTTCAGCAGATGCCATCCTCACTCCTCCCCTTACTCCACACAGTCAGATATGTCCAGGCCCCCACAGTGCTATTGAGACATCTGAGCACTGAAGAGACTAAACCTACCTCTCCAAGGCCCATCTTAGAGGCCTATCCCAAGAGCCTATGCAGCACAGTTCACTATTTGGCTTGTTTCCTATGTTGAGGATATCAATGTTGCTGTCCAGCTGCCCTCACTCACCAGTGTCAGGCTCAGGTATAGTACCCTTTGCTTCCTCTTGCTGCTGCTGCTGCTGCTGTAGTGGCTGCTCCGGTGCCTGCCTTTCTTTTGGCTCCATTTGGGCAGGACAGGCTGGACTTGGGGCATGCTCTGGACTCAGAGGGATTCCTAGAAACACAAATCAGTGTCACTGAGAACAATACCAAAATCTCCTAGGCAGGAGGCCAGTGACTCTGGGGCCACACTAAATGTAAAGTCTCAGATCCTGGGATTTCAAATCAAGGACAGGACAGGATGTGAAGACAGTGGCCATCCCACTGCCCCACAGCTCAATGCTTTTGTAAAGCCTTTTTGTTGTTTTGTTTTGTTTTTGAGGCAGGGACTCTTTAAATAACCCTGGCTATCTTGAAACACACTATGTAGACCATGATGACCTTCAACTCAAGAGATCCACCTGCCTCTGCTTCTGTCTGCTGGTATTAACAGTGTGTTCCACCATGCTAAGTCTAAAGTCTCTCAGTCCACAAGGACTACACAACATGTAATTCAACTGAGAGTGCTAGATAGGACATGACAGCTAGATCAAGAACCTGGCTGATAATGGGATGAAGGGTCTAATGTCCTCCTCTGACCCCTGTGGGTACCGAATGCACATGGTGCCCAGACATATAGGTAGGCAAAACATCCATATACAAAAAGTAAAATAAATGTATATAAACATAAATAATAAGTTAAAAACAAAAGAACCTGGCTATTTAAGGCAAGGAGGAAAAATGATGTATCTCCATCAGACATCAGGGTGTCTGCTGGCTTCAAGCCACCTTCTGCAGTGCCGGGAAGCCCACTGGCACAGCAGAAAAGGCACAATGAAGATGTCGTCTTTGGAGCTCTGGTGTTCTTAAATACTCCTAAAAAAAAAAAAACTCATTTATTTGTTTATTTTCTGTGTTGATATTTTGCCTACATGGATGTCTGTGTCAGGATGCCAGATGCCCTGGAACTGGAGTTACAGACAGTTGTAAGATGACATGTGTGTGCTGAAAATTGAACCCAGGTTCTCTGGAAGAGCAGCCAGGGCTCTTAATAACTATGCCATGTCTCCAGCCTCCACAGTATTCTTTCGAGACAACTCTTCCTCCACCCCTATCCTTGGACTCACGCATGGTGTTTGTTGCTGCCTGCCTTCCAGAATAGTTCCTACAACCTGGTTGTGACTGTGGTTGTTAAATGGAGGCTCCAAAATGAGCCTAAGCAGCCTCTCCCACACAGAACAGAGCTGGGGGAAGGGTGGTTTTGTTTTGTTTTTAAGACAGGGTCTCACTATAGAGCTTAGGCTGGTTTGGAACACAATAATGTAGACTGGTCTAGTTTTGAACTCACAGAGATATACCTCCCTCTGCCTCCTGACTGCTGGGCCACCATGCTCAGCCTTCTTTCCTTCAAAACACAAGAAAACAAAGCAAAACAAAAACTAGAGAGGTATATATGACACAGAGACAGACGGACAGATTCAGGGGTGGGGAGTATGTAGGTCAGAAAGCAATTTTCAGGAGTTTTTTGTCCTCCACTGTGGGTTCTACAGATAGAACTTACATTATCAGGTTCATACATAGAGAGGACCTTTCACCTCAGTGGCGAGGACCTTTCACTACTGTTGAGCCATCTCAACTGCCCTTCTGTGTTTGCTTTTTGAGATAGGATCTCATATGTATTCCAGGGTGGCCCTGAACTCACTATGTGGCTGAGGATGACTTTAAACTTCTGATCTCCAGCATCGCCATCCCTAGTGGTGGGATTATAGGCATGTACCACCATACCAGTTTTTCTGGTGCTAGGGATCAAACTGGGGTAAAACACTATCAAGTGAGATACATCTTTCATCCTTCCCCTCTTCTTTCCTGCTTTTCAGGACCAAACAAATAAACTCCAGCAAAACAAAACAAACAAAAATACCAAACTATTAAGAAAAAGATATACTATGAGCAAAACGTTGATGGTTAAAGAACTGCTAGAGTCTGCTGTCTGATACCAATCAGCCCACATGGAACCATGTGTGCTGAGGATAGCCCAAATCAGACAGTATTTGGATGAGAAATCCACAATCAGAGAAAGAGGAGGCTCTATCTCTACAGGTGCTTGAACTTACCAGTGTGGTTTTTTTTTTTTTTTTTTTTTTTTTTGTTTGTTTGTTTTTTTTTTTATGAACAAAGACATGTGAGAGACGCACACAAAAGCTCTCCACTGCTTCAGTCAGCTCTTCTCTTCTGGAAAACTGACAACACTGTTGTGGAGTCTCTCATACCTCACACGCCAGGGAGCAGTGGTGAGCCACACTGTTCCAGACACACACACACAACAGGCACGAATAATAATAAATCCAAAGACAGATGCTTCAGCTAGGTGTGGTGCTCATACCTAAAATCTAAGCACTCAGGAGGCTGAGGCAGGTGGACTACTATGAGTTAAAGGCCTACATATGAGTCTGGGCTACATATTAAATTACAGACCAATCTGGGCCATGGTGTGAGACACTGACTTAAAAGCAAACAAGGCCAGGCAAGATGGCTCAGGAGGTAAAAGCCCTTGTTGCCAAGTCTGTAGTTCCATCCCTGGGGCTCACATGGACAGGAGAGAGCTGACTCCTTCAAGTATTTTCCTGACCTGCACACATACAGACACATAAATGAATGAACATTACATTTTTTAAAAAGCAAACAGCAGCAACAAGAAGCCAGTATGGTGTCATGCGTCTATAATGCCAGCACTTGAAAAGCTGAGGCAGGAGGATCACTAAGGTGGCTACATAATGAGTTCCAAGCAAGTCTGGGGTACAGAATGAGACCCTGTGAGAAAAAGCAATATAAATGTCTACGGCCCATACTGCCTTGCTGGGTGACCTCAGTCCCTCCTTGTTACCCATGCTGTAGCGGAAGGAGACCATCAACTCCTAAAGTTGTCTTCTGACCTCCACACATGTACATGATGCATATCTCCATCCCCTCCATACACACAGGTAAGTCAGGTGTGGTGGTAGACTTTTGCAATCCCAGCACTTGGGAGGAGGAGACAGGAGGACCAGGAGTCAGAGACTACATACTTACTGAGTTTGAAGCCAACCTGAGATACACGGGACTTTGTCTCAGAAACACAACACAGCAACAACAACAAAAAGAGAACTGCTTCATTGGCAGAATAAAGGTGCTGAAGTCTTATATTTGGATCTTTGTAAGAACTATAAAGGGAAAAGGTGTTTGTCCTACTAAACCATGCAAAGCACCACAAGACAATGGTTCAGAAGAGTGAAGCTCCAAGGCACAGAAAGGTAAATATGGAAGAATATGAAATCCCGACTGTCAAAGAGCCATGAACATTGAGTTTCTCTTATTATTATCTGGAGTCCTGAATTAGATACTTTCCTCCCATGGAATTAAAAGGTACCCAAATGCATGACTGTAAGTGGGAAAAGAGGGGATACAATTTTCTTCTCATTTAACCCTACCCATAAAAAGAAAAAGGGGGAGGAGGGGACAGAAATCGAGTGTTAACCCCACTTATATGGAAACTGTAACTCCAGCATCCAAAACTTAATTCCGGCCTCTTCTGGCACCAGACATACATGTGTTAAAACATGCAGGCAAAACACCCATTTACATAAATAATATTAAAAAACAAATAGCTAGGCAGTGGTGGCGCACACCTTTAGTCCCAGCACCCAGGAGGCAGAGGCAGGCATATCTCTATTAAGTTCAAGGCCAGCCTGGAATGAGTTCCAAGACAGTCAAGGCTACAAAGAGAAATCCTTTCTCAAAAGACCAAAATAACAAAAAAGGAACTACAAAAGGAGTTCTAGGACAGCTAGGGCTGTTACACAGAATAACCCTGTCTCAAACAAACAAAGGTTTTGGCAACAGTTGTACCATAACTGACCATCAGTCCACTTAGGAGATGCCGATTATACCCTTCATCTGTATTTGCCACCTCTGACCTCAAAACCATTCCTTTTGTGCTAGAGCCTTCTATACAGAGGCAGAGGCAGTTCTAAGGAGAAGCCTTCTGGTTACTCCTGCTCAGAACAGCCTGGGACAAAGTGTAGCCCATTCTGGGTGAAGGGCCTGTGCTCTCTTTCCAGCTCCAAGATGGTCCAGTATACCCCGGAAGGTAATGTGTTGTTCACTTTGCCCCAGCAGCTCCCAATATGTGCCAATACTTACCAGTGTTTGGTTTCCTTGGGCATGCTGCCTCCTCCTCCTCACTCCCCTTCCCCTGGCCACAGGGGCCTGCAGGAAAAGGCTCTTCTCCCCTCTCTATCCAGGTGAGGATGTCTGGTTTAGAGATGGCATAATCTGCAGACAGAATGGTGAGGGCATGGGGAAAGGTCTAGGTCTGGAAGCCTAAAGCAAAGGCAAGACTGCAGGAAACCATCCTTAGATGGAAGTCTAGACTGCAGGAAACCATCCTTAGATGGAAGTCTAGACTGCAGGAAACCATCCTTAGATGGAAGTCTAGACTGCTGGAAACCATCCTTAGATGGAAGTGTAGACTGCAGGAAACCATCCTTAGATGGAAGTGTAGACTGCAGGAAACCATCCTTAGATGGAAGTGTAGACTGCAGGAAACCATCCTTAGATGGAAGTGTAGACTGCAGGAAACCATCCTTAGATGGAAGTGTAGACTGCAGGAAACCATCCTTAGATGGAAGTGTAGGCATTGCTATGCAGTCTTACCCAGGGAGATCAGCGTCTTGTAGTTGTCTCTCATCACATGTTTATAGAGCTCCTTCTGCCAGTCCTCCAATTTGGCCCACTCCAATTCAGAGAAATACACAGCCACATCATCAAAGGTCATAGGCACCTGAAACCACAATGTCACACCACATAATTACAAGCATGGGTCCTCAGGCTCCCCACCTGAGGGCATCCAAAAGCTACCTTGGGGAACTCGTCCTTGCTGCCAGGGGGAAGCCGCAAGACCAAAAAATTCTGATTGTGCATGAGGTTCTCCACATTTTCCAGCCGCCGCTGCAGCAGCCCGTACTCCTGCAGCAGAGTCCCCAGCACGGCCCACTTGCCCTCCAGTTGGCTGCTGAACTCCACAGCTGCCTTCTCACAATCAGCCAGCTTCTTCTCAGCTGTCCCTGAGCGTCCTTCAAGAGTCAGCAAACGGGCCACACAAGAATCCACTTTCTTCTCCAAGGCCTGAATGGCTGCCACCACAGTCCACAGTGTGATCTCTGTGGTATAGAGGTATGAACTCTTCTCTGTATCTAGCTGGAGTGAAGAAGGGGTGGGAGGCCTCTTATTACACATCTGTTTGTCCTCTGAGAAATCAAAACATCCGCACTGTAAACCAGGAATGGTAGTATATACCTATAATCCCAACATTTACAAACTGAGGCAGGGAGATGGCCTCCAGTTCAAGGGCAGCCTGAACTAGACAGTTCCAGGTTAGCCTACAGAGTGACCAGCCAGGCATAGTGGCACATATCTCAGGTGGGTCTCTATGCGCTCAAGGGCAGCCTGATCTGACCAGCTAGGACTGCATAGTATAATACTGTCCTTAAGGAAAAAAGGGGGGGACATTTTGTCCCATGGACCTGCAGGTCTATTTTTAAAGATTCACCCAACCTGAGATTAAAAATATTTAGAAAGAAAAATTGTATCTCTTCTAAACGTGTACACAATTTTCTTGTCATTATTTCCTCTGCGATGCAAATATTAGCTTTTCCATTGTACTAGAAATCTAGAGATGATTCATGGTATTTTGGGGTATATGAGTGGGTTATATGCAAATACTACATTATTTTATGTAATGGACTTGCGCATCCCTTGTCTACTGGGGGAGAGCTTACAATAATGTGATAGTGCTGAGATCTATCTTGTTGGCAAGTTTTTTTGGGCTATTAGGTGCTGCAAGACAGCTGAGTGATAGGAGCAGGTGAAATGATCACGAAGAGTGAGTCATCTGGACAAGTACAGAAATACCTTCCAGCCCCACCCCCACGCCCATTTTCTATTCCTTGCAGTCAAGGAACCCAGAAGGGCACACAGAAAACAAGGGAAGGGGAGGTTTCCTTCAAAAGGCTTCCAGGAAAGTAAAGTTTCAGAAACTTGTCTGAGATGTAATGGTAAGAATACATAACAACACATAGTTCTGGCTCCTCTCTTTCCCAAGGTTCCCCTGGGGCAGACAGGACTTTTCCTGTCTTCCTCTTCTCTTCTGTCTTCTCTCTGTGTCTCTTTACCTCCTTTCTCTTTCCTTCCCCCCCCCCTTCTAATAAAACTTCTCACAAAAAAAAAATAAAAAAATAAAAAAAGATAACACTACTAATTTATATAGGTGAAAGAAAGTTCTGGCACATCCTCTGAAATGGCCATACTGAACATTACCAAGCTACCCTTCTAAAACTGCTAAAATGACAATGGTTCTCAACTTTCCTAGTGCTGCGACACTTTAATACAGTTCCTCATGCTGTGGTGACCCGCAACCATAACATTTCGTTGCTACTTTGGAACTGTAATTTTGCTACTGCCATGAATAGTAAATATTTGAGATGCAACGCCAAGGGGTTGCGACCCAGAAGTTAAGAACCAATTAAGTAATCTTTAAAGAAACAAACGAAAAAGGTCACAACATTCAGAACCTGTTGCAAACAGGGCTGAGTCAAATTGTTTCCTACCTAAAAGTAGAGTTGCTGTGTATTTTAATGCTGGTCTCATTCTAAGGTGTTTGCACGAGGCCTAAGCTCAACATCTACATGCCCCTTTGCATCCTCAGCCTTGCAGATATGGGCCCTCTCGACTGTTGGGCTGAAGACCTCAGAAGAAAAACGGACAGGGCTGAGTTGACTGCTAGGTCCTTCGAGGCCTGGTGTTTGGGCCGCCCGCCGCTGGGTGCAGGCTGGTGGCCTATGTGGCCTCCAGGCCAGTGGCTCCATGGTCGCGGCGGGCTGGGTGGAGGCCTTGGTAAGGAAGGGGCGATCCGGGCCTGGAGTGCCGAGCCCCTCGAACGCTGCGGACACCGGCCAGGGCGCTTACCTGGGCGGGCGCCGCTTCAGCCATGGCTACCGTGTCTTCGTTTGGGTGCGATCCTCCGCCGACAGGTCGGGCCAGGCGCGGGCCGAGACTCCCCGCCAACAGGTTGGCCCAATTGCAGGCCGCGTGTCGGTGACGAACGAGAGGTGCCCAGCTTCGGAACTATTGCCTGGCGGCCGCAAACTCCCCACAGTCCTGAGCCACGTGCCCCACTGGCCCTTTACCAGAGCCGCGGGTGCGGGGAGGGGGGTAGGCGCGGCCGGGTGCGCACAGCGCCCCCTGCAGCCCGAAGGACCGTATCCCGGGGGCGCTCGGAGCCAGCCTTCCGCGCCCTACCCGCGCCCTACCCTGTGAGGCTCACCCTGCCACTGGTGCGTTGCTCGCCAGGCAGCTGGCCTCAAGCTAGCCCACGGGCCGGTCACTTCAGGAAGATTGCCCGCGAGGGAAACGCTCAGGAAATTTCCAAACTACGCGCTCTAGCTGAACACCCTCATCCCAAGGGTTTTTCAGATTCCCTTTTCTGAGGCCTGTAGCCTAGAGAGAGGAAGCTAGGGACTTAAAGGTTTCTAAACCCTCTTTCTGTTTTCTGTTTTTGTTTTGGTCTTTGTTTTCAGAACAAATGGGAAACTCTAAGGGGAAAGTTTTGTTTTGAGAATAAATGGGAAGCCCTAAGGGGTAAAGTGAGTTTAAAACAAAATGCAAGCCAGGGACTACCTCAGTGGCAGAGCGCTTGCCTGGCTTGCTTGCAACAGAACCTGAGGGAAGTACTTCCTGGGCATCCTTGTCTCAAGCACCTACCTTCGAGGTTGAGCCTCTGAGATTTATGAGTCTCATCCGCACATCCGCACATCTCGGGTCTCACCGCTTCTTCCAGCCCTCTCTGCCACACCCAGTCTAGACTGGCACGCGACATCAGCAGGGCATCCTGTAAACCTTGGCTCCAGGTTGACCATCCTGCTCTTCCAGCCCAGTTAAAATGACAGAATGGACAGGAGCATAGCTACTGTGTTCATTTATAAGGCTCTCTAACCAGTTCATGTCCTAAGCTATCCCAAATAAACTATTTCACTTAAGACCTATTTCCTTTTGAAACTAGAAAGCCTTACTCAGGAAGGCCAGGATCTTAATAAAAAGTAAAACCTGCTTTTCTTTGTTTCCTGCATTTTTTTTCCACTCATTCTATTGGTTTTAACCAATAAGCCAATAAACTTTCAGCTGGCAATTGTTCTTTGTATTTTAGATTTGTTTTGGTGTGTGTGTTTTAAAAAGTAATTGTAAAAAGGAATTAGTTCTGAGGTTGGAAAGTTGGTTCATTGTGTAAAGGCCTTTTCTGCCCAAGATGACACAAACCTAAGAATCTGAGGTCAACCTCATAAGAGTAGAAGAGAACTGATTTCACAAATCTGTCCTCTGACACACACACACACACACACACACACACACACACACACACACACAGAGAGAGAGAGAGAGAGAGAGAGAGAGAGAGAGAGAGAGAGAATGAAACTTTAAACCAGGCAGTGGTGGCACACACTCAGGAGGCAGAGGCAGGGAGATCTCTGTGAGTTTGAGGCTAGCCTGGTCTACAGAGTGAGTTCTAGACACAGGCTCCAAAGCTATGGAGAAACTGTCTCAAAATAAATAAATAAACAAACAAACAAACAAACAAATAAATAAATAAATAAAATAAATAAAGCCAACCAAACAAGAAAAAAGAGAAAACTAGATTCTAATGGAAAGCAAACTTATAGCCAATGTGTTCTGTTCACTGATGTATCCCAAATGTTTTGCCTACATAACAAGTACCTATCATTTATTTACTTTTTGAGGAAAAGAAAGATGGCTCAGTGAGTAAAGTTGTTTACTGCTGAGTCTACTACCTGGAGTCTGATCAGCATTCCCACATAGTAGAAAAAAAGAACTCTATGTTTTCTTCTGATCTTCATTGTGTGTCATGGCATACATGTGCTCACGTTGGTGGATTCTTCTATTCTACCAAGCAGCTGGCAAACCATGACATGGACACTTACTAATTCCTTTCCGTGGCTCAATTACCTTTCTTTGTGATGCTCATGCTGCCTCTGTGTCTGCCTGGTGACTCTGCCTTACCAAGTGTTCTCTCTGTCCCCAAACCCTACCTAGCTAGTGACTGTTTAGCTTTGTTTTTGTCTGTATTGTTCTGGAGCCTGTCCTGGAACTCACTCTGTAGACCAGGCTGACCTCCAATTCAGAGATCCACCTGCCTCTGCCTCCCAAGTGCTGGGATTAAAGGCGAGTGCCATCAATGCCCAGTGACTGTTTAGCTTTTTATTAAACCAGTCAAGTGACACATTTTCAGTGTAAAGGATTATTCCACAACATGCTTACACACAAGGGGTAAACAGATGTGGGAAGCTCTCTTAAAAAGAGCTTAGACACCAAAATACCAAAAAGGCAAAAGGTGTATTCATGGCAGGAAGAACAACGGGACTACAACACAAATGAAGAAACACAGTAAGATAGGCCGTAGAAGCTTTTGATTAGTAGCTGGGAATGTCACCACAAAACTCTGAAGACAGCCCATGTTCAACAGCTCCAGAAGGCTAGGAGGTAATGGGATTAGGTAGGCTGACTAGAGTCAGATGAGTGACCATTAGAACCTTACCTGGGTGAATAGGGAGAGAGAAGGTGTGACAGCTTAGTTGCAGCCCTGTGTGTCATGTCCAACTTCCCACCTTCTTCTCCACACCTCCCAGAGCAACCTTTCAATGTGTGACAGTTGAAACAGGCAAGGGAGCTGTGTCATTTAAGACAGTGCCTGGGGGGGGCCTGGTATGCTGGCTAGCACCTGAAATACTGGCAGTTAGGAGGCTGAAGGTGAGAGGGCAGCTGTGAGTTCAAGCCTAGGCTACATTGCCAGTTCCAGAACAGCTGGGTTAGAGTGAGATGTTAAAAGGAAAAAGGAGGGGAGAAAAAAAAAAAAAAAAAAAAAAAGCCAAAACTGACAACCTGAATCTGAATTTGACTGCTGGGAACTCATACTCAGGGGAGGAGGGAACTAACTCCTACAAGTTGTCCTCTGACCTCCACATATACACCACAACATGCATGCACCCATATACATAGAAATGTTAAGAAACTAAAACTAAAAAAGTGCCTATTGATAATGATAATGTAAGGATGTTAAGATGTTGTGTATGCCAAACGTGGTGGCACACGCCTTTAGTCCCAGCACTTGGGAGGCAGAGGCAGGTGGACCTCCAAATTCAATGCCAGCCTAGTCTAAAAGTGAGTTTCAGGACTGCCAGGAATAACAAAAATCTTGTCTCGGAAAAAAAACAAAAACAAAAACAAAAACCAAAAGTATGTTTTGTGTACACATGGACCCGAGTTTTCCCAATGCCCCTGCTTTGTATAGACAGCAGCTACCACAGTTTTCATTCAGGGCCTCCATGTCCTCTTCCTGTTCTTGTGTGTTAACTGAAACTATATACCATAAACCCCAACTTACTCATTTTGTTTTGAATGAAGATTCAGTTTCTAACTTTTGATACAGGTTTCCAAGCAAGGATACTATCATATCAAGTATTAACAACACTCTAGGAACTGCTGTTTGGGTGGAGAGGCAGGAATTTTAATTGTTTTTTTAATGAAATTATCTATTACACATTGCTGCAATGAAAAGCCATGGTGATTTCAGGCACTATTGACTTTTCTCCAAAGTGAGGGAGGTACTTCTGTTAATTCAAAGTCCTACCCAAGCTCAAGTAGGGCGGGAGCCTTTGCCTCTAACTGCCCTTCCCATCTTTATAAACTATCTGCCTTTTAAAACAAGTTCCTTCATGTGTTGGACACTACAGTATCTGTCCCTGGGCTAGCAGGTATCTCTGAAGCCTTCTTTTAAAATAAAATCCTATGGGCTAGATGGTGGTGTCAAATACCTTTAATCCTAACACACAGGAGGCAGAGGTAGGCAGATCTCTGTAAATTCCATGCCAGCATGGTCTATAGAGCCAGTTACAAGACAGCCAAGACTACACAGAGAAACCCTGCCCTGAAAAAAAAAAATAAAAATCCTATTTTTTAAATGGATTTTTCACAAATTTTGTCATCTTATCTATCCAAGCTCCACTTCCTAAACTTTCAGTTCCTAGAGGTATTGTCTATAGATACACCCAGCCATCATGACAAAGCCTTAAGAGTTCTCTGAGAAAATGACAGACATCACAGCCACAACATCTCTTGTGTTTGGAAGCTTGGCTCTTTGCTGATCCTGACTTCCTGGCTTTTCCTTAGTCTCTTCTCACTTCCTGTTGACCTGTGCAGCGATTTGGTGTGATAAAGTATAATCTTGTTCCTAACCCCTGCAACATGAGTTTCAAATTTTATCATTGCAATAAAAGTGCTATATGCTGGCATTTAAAAAATGCTGCTTAGCATGGTGGTACTTGAGAAATGGTGATGGGAAGATCAGGAGATCACGGGTAGCTTCAACTTCACAGCAAGTTCAAGGCCAGCTTGGGCCACATGAAACCCCAACTCAAAAACCATAAAATAGTATTTTTTTATGTAAATTCCACCAGGCAGTGTTATTAGTACATGCCTTTAATCCCAGCACTTGGGAGGCAAGAGCAGGCAGATCTCTGAATTGAAGGCCAGTGTAGTCAACAGAGAGGATAGCAGGTACCAAGACAGTCAGGGATAAATTGTTTCCTCCCCCCATACCCACCCCCAATAAAAACAAACCAATCCAATGGTCTAGAATGGAGTCTGAGCCCATACTACCTTCAAACTCCTAGCAGGTGCTGACACCATACTTCTGTGAACAGGAAATGAATCTAACTTTGACATTAAGGTATATAATTACAAAAGCAACAGTATCCCTGGTCCAGTGTGTGAGCTCTGAGGCAAGATGGTCATAGGTTCAGGCTAGGCTTCCTGGTGAGGAATCTCTCCCCACTTGACTCCAGGTGACAATTCTTGATAAACAGAAAACAACCCATGTGATTCTTTTTTTTAAATACAAGTAACAAGATTTATTCCAGACAACTGTAAATCATTCAAGGATACATTCACCTATGAGCAAGGAACCCACTCTCACCTCCCTCCGCAAATGACAGTGTGGGGCAGGTACTCAACACTCCTGAGACAAGCACCTGTGTTTTTCCTCCTTCGTCTCTGGGGCAGACACTGGAGAGTCTAATCTGAACGACCTCAAGTGAGACCTGGTGTAACAGAATCAACCTCAGTCTTCCGTATTCCCCACCCCCACAGAGCTGCAGAAACAGAAACACAGCACAGCCGGGGACAGACAGGGGAGAGAGTGCACGAGACACCAAACTCCCAGAACTGAGCTCTCAGCTTCTTCACACAAGTCTTGACATCCAGCAGGGCCTTCAGGGCCTTCCTCTTGGCCCACCTGAGAAAACTAGCCCCATCTGAGTATATTCAGTAACCCACTGGGGGAACCCAGCAGTGTGTCTTGGCTCTCCAACCTATGTTAAGTGTGGGTGGGCTAAAAGAGCCCATAATTATTCCCTCCTGGAGGGTAGGCTCAGTTCCCAGGTTAGGAACAAATTCTACAACTCTTGAAATTTATAAAACAAGTTTTAAGCTACATATTAAAAAACTCAACAAGACTCTAACTTCAAAAAGGGGTCTTTAGAACAACCTAAGCAGTTCCTTTAAATTATTTATATTCGTTATTAACAAGAAAGCTACAAAAGGACAGGAAATGGACGATAATACTCCCTGGAACTCTCCACATACCTCTGTGGCCCCATTTAACTGTGGGAAGACGTGTGAAATGCTAGAATGGGCCCTGGAACTAGCCACCAGTCCCTGTGGTGTGACAGTACATCAGAAACAGGGGCCCGAAAAGGGCTAAACAAACAGCAAACCCAGTAGCAGGGCCTAGATGGCAGAGGCTGGGGCCTTAGGTCTTCTCTCCTGTGTCTCAGACTAGCCTTTGTGCTTAGCCAAGGGGGGCAAAGCAGAAACAATTCTCAGGAAGAAGTCAGCCTGACTCTGTAGTGTCTCTGCGGGGGACTCATGCCACCCCCCCTCCAGCCCCCGGCCGGTAAGGGGCTGGCAACCTTAAAGCAGGCCATTGGGCCTTCCATGCTCTGGAGCCAGAGCAACTCGCTCCCGCTGGTGAATTTTCTGGTGCTGCAGGAGGTGCTGCTTCTGAACAAAGCTCTTCTCACACTCAGGGCAACTGTAGGGCCGCTCCCCTGTGTGGATGCGCTGATGCCGCACCAGATCAGATGGGTGGCTGAAACTCTTGCCACAGTACCCACAGATGAGAGAACTCCGACTTTTCCTCCAAGGGATGTGGCCAGGCAGAGCAACTAAGCTGTTAGGTGAGAATCTCTCCTGGATATGTGGACTGGTGCCCGGGCCCTCCCGCTGGTGGCAGCGCTGGTGGGTCACCAGGCTGACCTTGCAGCTGAAGCTCCTGTGGCACACATCACACTGATGTAGCTTCGACTTCTTGGCCTGTGGCTGCAGTCGTGGTTTGGGCCTAGGGCTCTCCTCTGGTTCTGTGGCTGAGTAAGACTCTCTGCCCACGTGGCTCTGCATATGTGTAGTCAGCTGCTGCTTGTAGCGGAAGCTGATCTGGCATTCCGAACATTTGTATGGGCTGGTGTCCCTTTTCACCTTCAGGCCCTGTCCACATGCCTGACCCAACTGTCTCTGCCTGTGGGACTTCTGTTTTCCAGGGCAGATCAGTTTACTACCAGGGGCAGGGTCTCTACTGCCCTCAACAGACTCAGGGGTAGAGTTCCCAGGGCCTGTTTCCAAGAGAGCAGGATCTCCTGGACTATTCCAGAACACAGCCTGCTCTGTGCCAAAGCAAGCCTGCTGTTCAGCAGCACTGGAAAACATGCTGGGAAGACCTGCAGGGCCCTCCTGCTTGTACAGCACCTCCTGTTTAACCATGGCCCTATCTGCTGCAAGGAAAAAGACCAGCAAAAGATCACATTCCAGCACTTTTGGTATCTCCAGAGCCAAATGCTTGAAGACTTCAGAAGACTCAAACCAAAGCTTCTTAGAACAACTGAATTAGGACAATCTAGAGGAGAGTCTGAACATCTTACTCTTAGAGAGCAATGTTATTATAGTTCTCCAAACTTGTCTATAAACTGGTATTTAAACTCTATGAAAAAATTACAAAACACACTGTAACAACTGATTAATTCAAAAGTGTTAAAATAGCAAATTTGAATGTGGGCCTGGTGATTTAGGCCTATAATCTCAGCTACTCAGAAAGATGAGGCAAGAGGGTCACATGTTAACAGACTGCTCAGGCTACAGAGCAAGTTCAAGACCAATGTGGGTAGTTAAGTGAGACCCTACTTAAATTTTTTTGGTTTTTGAAAACAGGGTTCCTCTGTGTAACAGCTCTGGCTATCCTAGAACTCACTCTGTAGACCAGGCTAGCCTCAAACTCTTGAACTCAAAATTTAAAAAAGTTTTTTTTTTTTTTTTTTTTTTTTTTAACCAAAGGGGTTGAAGATAAAGCCCAGTCACACATGCATGCCTAGTATGTACAAGACTCCGTGTTTAACACAGTAAACTAATAGTTTGAAAATCACACATTCAGGAGCTGGAGAGATGACTCAGTGGTTAAGAGTCCCATGTCCTTGTAGAGGAGTCAAGTTCAATTCCCAGCACCCACATAGTAGCTCACAACCATCGGCAACTCCAGTTTCAAGAGATCTGATACCTTCTATGTTTCAAACGCTTCAAACATGAAGTACACAGACACAGACAAAACATCCATACACATAAATGAATAAACTAAAATTTTAAAAAATATCATATGCCCAGTTTTCCAGAATAGTCTGCTCAAATGCATTTCCTGGTTTCTTTCTCCTTTGGCCCTGTGGCTCGTTGCACACCCTCCATCACTCATTCTGACCACAGCCCATTATGTCTATTACTTTCAGGGCATGAAAAAGCATGCTATACAATCTGTAGAATGGCAGGAGTAAAGAAAAACCTGTAACAGTTTTAGTGAAAGGATGGTGGCTCACAACTGTAATCCTATTAAGGGCAAAGAGTTAGGAGGATCAGTAGTTCAAAGCCAGCCTGGGATCACAGTGAGTCCAAGCTATCATGGACTATATAGTAATACATCTCAAAAGCAAGCTTAGAGGCCAGAAAAATGGCCCACTGAACTAGAGCATTCGTTTCCAATACCCATGTCAGGTGGTTATAACTTCAGTTCCAGGAGATTCAACCCCCTCTTTTGCCCTCCATGGATACCCCCACAAACATCATAGAGTCACACAGACACATATGCATACATATAAATAAAAATAAAATAAACCTTTAAAAACAAACAAGCAAGCTGGGCAGTGGTAGCTCCCAGGACCACGGGGGCAGATATAGGTGGATCTCTGAGTATGAGGCCAGCCTGGTCTACAAAGGAGTTTCAGGATAGCCAGGCCTACACAGAGAAACCCTATCTGGAAAAAAAAAAAAATTAAATTAAATTAAAAAAAAAAACACAACAAAATCAAACAGGAGTCCACAACCTGCACGTTCCAGATGAGATTATCAATACTATTTGGCAGGTAATCTGTGGGAAATCTCTTTATAAGCTATAGGAACCTGCAGGGTAGGGATAGAGAAAGAAGACAGAAGAACATTCTAGAACTACATACCCAGGTGGGTTCCTTCTTCCACCAATTCACCCACCATCTCTGCACCCAATTCTCCTTCTTCTTCTGGCTGCCCAAGGACCTCTGGGTTGGAAAAGATACAGTGTGAGTTCAAGAGAATAAAGCTTGCAGCACGCTGGTCAGATGCCACAGAGTAAATGACCAATGCCAGGGAGTCAATCATAACAGTTAAAAAGACACAAGAAATAATGTTACTGCCATTTTTTCCTAGACATTTCTGGCCAATGGAAATTTTAAGATGTCATTGTTTTTAACAATACTTCATGTGTAAATGTACTCTTGCTTTATCCATTCTTTGGTTAAGGGACATTTAGGTTGTTTCCAGTTTCTGGCTATTATGAATAATGGTGCTATGAACATAAACATAGTTGAGCAAGTGTCCTTGTGATAAGATGGAGAATCTTAGAGTATATGCCCAAGAGTGGCATATCTGGGTCTTGAAGTATATCAATTATCAATTTTCTGAGAACTGCCAAATTGATTTCCAATGTGGTTAAGTTTGTATTCCCACCAGCAATGGAAGAGTGTTCTCTTCACTCTGCATCCTAGCTAGGCTGGCCCTAATTTCTAGTGTTCCTTCATTAGAAGACTAGACTCAGGTGCCAGTGTCCACACAGCACCACCACCACCACTGCTGAAGTTTTGCCAAAGATTCCTTCACAGTGCCTAATTTTATCCTCCTATCCTCCTTGCTGAGGCAGTGCCAGGTAAGTCAGGCTCAATGACATAGGAAAACAGCCTCGAGAGAGTGTATAACCCATCTGGGGTAACAGCCACCTCTTTAATGCACTCTGACTTTTCTCACTCTCATTCTGGGTCAGCCACTGGCCTCCTTGGTATTTCTCCAAGGACCCACATTCTAAAAGAATCTGTCTAACAAGAAAACAATGCATTCATTATATAGCATGTATTATTAATAATTACATAAAATACTTCCAGCTAGTACTTCTAGTCTAACAAACAAACATGGAGACCGAAGTGGCTAGTGATGACACTGGTTAATTAACAAGAAAAGGGCTCTGTCAGCCTATGCTGAATATCTCAAGTTTAAATTCTTTTTAAAGCATTTTAATTTTATATTTTATGTGGGTATACATATATTATGTAAGACTTTAGGTACACCTGTACCATAGTGCACATGTGGAGGGCAGAAGGCATCTTATGGAATATTAACTGTGTAAAGATGTGTTACATTTATTTTTATTTACATTTGTTTAATTATGTAAAGATGAGCTGCTGTCTAAAACATGTAATGGTCTAATTAATAGCTAGGCTGGTGGGCAGAGAGAATAAGTAGGAGGGGGAATCTAGATTCTGGAGAAAAGAAAGTAAGAGAGGAGAGAGGAGAGATGCCCAGGGCCAGCTAGGCAGCTACCAGCCAGATACAGAGAAAACAGTGAAAATAGGACATATAGAATGAAAGAAAGGTAAAAAGTCCCAAGGCAAAACAGATGAAAAACACAGGTTAGATTAAGTTATAAGAACTACTGGAACAAGATAAGCATAAGATAAGGTCAAGCATTCATAACTGATAGTAAGTCTCTGTGTCATGATTTGGGAGGTAGTTGGTAACCTTAAAGAAAGCCTGTTACAACTTTAAGGAGTCAGTTGTCTCCTTCTATCATGGGATTGAATGCAGGTTATCAGGCTTGTATAGCAAGCACTTCTATCCACTGAGCCACCTTAGCAGTTCCAAAGTTACAGTATTTCTCAAACAATCTTAAATATGAAAATTAGCACATTAGCTGGGCATGGTGGCACATCAGATTCTAGCACAGGAGGATCTCTGTGAGTTCAAGGTCAATCTGATCTCCATAATGAATTCTAAGACAGCCAGGGCTACACAGAGGGCTTTGTCTCAAAAACCAACAATTTATTATATTTATAGTGGTTTGAACAAGAAAGGCCCCCACAGGGTCATGTCTGAAAACTTTGTCACCAGTTGGTGGAATTATTTGGGAAAAGTTAGGGGGTATAGCCTGTTAGAGGAGGCAAGTCGGGGGGGGGGGTAGGTTTTAAGGTTTCAAAAGACTGAGTTTGTTTTCTCTACATCTTGCTTGAGGTTCAAGATATGAGCTCTCAGGGTTGTTTCAGCCACTTGCCACCTGCTACCTCTGCTTTGGCCATCCAGTACTCTAACTAACCCTCTAAAACCCAAAAGTCCCAAATAAGTTTTTTATATAAGTTGCCTTGGTCAGTATCTTATATAGCAATAGAAAAGTAATTAATACTTTGTAGCTATGTATTAAATACACCTATTATACTTCAGCAATAATATCATCATAAATAGTTTCAAGAAGTGATTGTGTTACCACAGAGAAGAAATACAAAAGGCTCATCCCTGAGACCTTCTCAAGCCTCTGCAGGTGACAGCCCCTGGAGACTCATCCCTCCTCCCAGCAACTGCTCAAGAGACCAGCTGAGTATCCGGTGCAACAGGAGGAAAAAAACCAACACTTACTCAGAGAGACCAGCGTCTCATAGTTGCTCTCCATGACATTTCTGTAAAGCTCCCTCTGCCAGTCCTCCAGGTTCTCCCACTCCTGTTCTGAGAAACAGACCCCATCATTCTCGAGGGGTCCAGACACCTGCAAGTATAAGCCACAAGAATAAGCACTTTGACTTGTATCCTAAGTACAAGCCAGTGATTTAACATCTTGACTAATCAAGGGCTGGGATCCCTTTTTTCCTAACTTTTAAACTTAAGAGGTTCTACCTTGGGGGGTTCCCCCTTGCTACCAGGGGGCAGCCGCAGGACCCAGAAGTTCCTGTTGCGAAGCAGGTTCTCTACGTTCTCCAGCCGCCGCTGCAGCAGCCCGTACTCCTGTAGCAGGGTCCCCAGCACGGCCCACTTGCCCTCCAGCTGGTTGCTGAACTCCACAGCTGTCTTCTCAAAGTCAGCCAGCTTTTTCTCAGCTGTCCCTGCACGTCCCTCAAGGCTCTGTAGTCGGGCAGCCTGGGATTCCATCTTCTTCTCCACAGCCTGAATAGCAGCCACCACTGTCCAAAGTGAGATTTCTGTGGTCTGAAAATATGGGCTTTTCTCTGCTGTTTGTGAAGGTGGTGTGGCAGGAGCTAATGGTGTAGAACGCCGTTTCCTCCTGTGCTGTAGGATTGATGATACAAGGCCAGTGAGACAAGGTCACTCCCAAATATCAAATAAAGAAAGCAATTCCAAGTCCAGGACTCCTACCTAGCTTCCTTGAAACAAAAAAACAAATATACTTTTTCATTCCGATCTGGTGCTGGCTAGTTTTATGGTGTTGGCTAGTTTTATGTCAACTTGACACAAGTTAGAGTCACTGGAGAGAAGGGAGTCTTATATTGAGAAAACACCTTAATAAGATCCTGGGTTCTATAAAAAAAAAAAAAAAAAAAAAAAACAGGCTGAGCAAGCAATGGAGAGCAAGCCAGTAAGCAGCACCCCTCCATGGTCTCGGCTTCAGCTACTGCCTCCAGGTTCCTGCCCTGACTTCCTTCAATGCTGAACAATGATATGGTAGCATAAGACAAATAGACTTTCTTTCCCAAAGTGGTTTTTGGTCATGGTGTTTCAACATAGCAATAGAAACCCTAATTAGGACAGATTCTGAAAACTTCATGTTGTGCAGGGCATACAGCTCCCCTCGCATGACCTGAAGCACCACGTGAGCCAGGGTGCATGCCTATAACCCCTGTATTTGAAAAGGAGGCAGTAGATGAGCAATGTCATCAGACCAGTGGCTTTACAAATTTTTTTTTACATTTATTTATTTATTTATTTATTTATTTTGTGTGTGTGTGTGTGTGTGTGTGCGCGCGCGCGCACGCATGTGCTAATGTGTGTATGCATATGACATTGCTCAACAGATAAAGGCCAAGTCTGAGGACCCAAAAGTTTGATCTCTGGAATCCACATTGTGGAAGCAGAGAACTGATTCCCACAAGCTGGCATCTGACAACCACATGAGTAAAGCCCACACTTTACAAAAATCAATAAGCAGGGTCAGGCATGTTGGTACATGCCTTTAATCACAGTACAGGTGTATCTTTGTGAATTTAAATCCATCCTGGTCTATATAGTGTGTTCCAGGCCAGCCAGGGTACCAAAATAATAATAATAACAACAACAACAACAACAACAAATAGTCAACATTTACCTACTAATCTGTAATGCTATTCTCTACTATAACCCAAGTTCTTTTACCAGTCAGTTTATTTTTGTCATCTTTTTTCTAATCTATGGGTTAATTTTTCTGTCACTTTACCAATACTGTGGTCTTATTAGCTCTAGCTACATAGTAATTATTGATACTTACTAAGACAAATCCCATCCCTTTATTTTATAGTAGTTAGTACCTTGGCTTATTTGGCCCACTGATGTTCTACAAACATGAAGAGTTTTTCACAAAAGTATCTTCAGAGACTGTTCAGAAATGCATCAAATTCCACAGATAAATTTGAGAAATAATATTTTTAGGGTAAAATGTTTTAATTCATACAGAGTATGCTATTGCACTTGAATTTTAAAGCATTTTCAATATTTTAACATATTCCCTAGTTTTCTATTCCAGACAACTCTTGCTATGTTAACAACCCATCCCAAAATTTGGTGACTTAAAGACATATACTTTGCTTGCAAATCTGAAACCATGTCTATGTTCTACTTTGTGTCAGTGGGGTAGACACAGGCAAGCAGATATATGAAGAATCTGGACTCCAACTATTCAACAGGCCCTCACACAAAGTCTAAGTCCACATCTAACACCAATTCAGACTGTATGAGCATACTTCCATATGTGATAGGTGTCTTTTCCTTTACCCTTTTCTTTGTATTTTTTATTTTATGAATGTTTGACCTGAATGTACATGTGGACACCCCAATGAAGGCCAGAAGGCATCTGATCCTCTGGAACTGTAATTACAGATAGTTTTGAGTCACCATATGGGTGCTGGGAATTGAACTTGGGTCCACAGCAAGAGTTAACAAGTGCTCTAAACCATGGAGAGAGATTATACAGAGATAATATATGCTGGTAGAAAATGAGTAAAATATTAAGGCAGTGATGGTGCACACCTTTAAATCCTAGCACTTGGGAGGCAGAGGCAGGCAGATCTCTGTGAGTTTGAGGCCAGACTGGTCTACAGAGTGAATTCTAGGACAGCAGGGCAACATAAAGAAACCCTGTCTCAAATAACAATAAGTAAGTAAATAAATAAAATAAAAATTAAACATTAATGATCACTTTTGAATATATGCCTTTTCCCAGCTCTCTACCCAATTCTCATTTTTGGCAAAGTCTTCCCTTCTCTGAGATAAGGTCTTTCTACATAGCTCTGGCTGGCCTGGAACACACAATACAGACCAGATAGACCTAGAACTCAGAAATGTACCTGCTTCTGCCTCCCAAGTGATGGGATTAAAGGTATGAGCCATCATGATCAGCTAAACTAGAAAAATTTAAAACTCATTTTGTTGGTCATACTAGCTGCACTTCAAAGGTTTATCAGTCCCATGTAACTGGACTACCCAGTAACCAGAGTAGCAATACTTGCTCTCTGCAATAATTCTGCTGGATGTACAACATCCTTACTACTGTTTTCTGATAGATAAAATACTAGATTATATTTAAATATTTTAAATGATGAATTTTGTCAATTTTTAAATGTATCTGAAGCTATATAATTAGCCTCAAACTAGTTCAAAAATGTCATTTCAAACAGAAAACTGAATCTTTTTCCATTATTAGTGCAAGAGTATTTTCCATCTCTGGCAATGATATACTTCTAAGCCAAGTTTCTTTTGATTAGTTTTATTCTCTCATATCCTTTTATATTTAACTATTTGTTTCGACTTATCTTTTGGATTTTTCCCATCCTCATATCTTGGCCTTTTAATTAAATTACATTTATTGTGACTGACTTTTTAGTCTTTTAGCAATTATGAAAAGTATATTTACAAAGACCATTGATTTCTGGATTCTGATCTCTTCTTCTTAACCTCTACATTAATGCTATTGTGTAGTTTAATTATTTGTCACTAACTCTTCCACATGTTACTATCTTATTCAGCCAGGCACCCTAACACTTGGGAGGAAGAGCCAAGTGGATCTCTTTGAGTTCAAGGCCAGCCTGGTCTACCTATCAAGTTCCTAGACAGCTATAGCTACCTACATTGTAAAACCCTGTCTCAAAAACAGTTTTCTTTTTGACCCAATGTTGTCCTCAAGCCCCACCCACCTCACCCCCAGCACAAGGACACTTGATTTCATAAGTATCAAATACAATTCCTCAAATGCTCTCAAAGTCAGCTTCACAACTCTGCTCATATTTTAAGCGTTTATGCTTGCTGTTTTTAAATTATCATACAAAATAATAGGCTTATGATTTATTATACATTTCAAATATCATTTATATAGGGTTTTTTTTTTTTGTTTTCCTCAGTATTCTTTTAAAATTTTAGTTGCTATTACCAGAATATGAATTTGGCTTAGTAGTACAAAATCCTCGACTAAAGAAATTTGTGAGAATACAAATATGTTCAAGAACAGTTTAAATAAATTTTATACTGCCAAAACTGTAAGTTCAAGTTTAGCTTAAGATTTTGATGAAATTTATGGCTCAGTCTCAATGAGGTCTGTTGGTGAGGATAACTAAGAGTGGAGTGATCAGAAAAGGGATCTGCTGGTCTTCCTACCTCATGTTAGTACAGGTCTACCTAGTCTAGAAACAACACTTTAGACTGTATCTGTGTCTTAAGGGAGTCAGACGCAGAAATGCTATAAACACTGTTTTCCTGGTTCAGTGTTAATTCCTCGAAAATACACAAACCACTGGGCTGTGCTCCCAGTGGAGGAGCAATAATATGAGCAAAGAGATCAAGACCATGATGGGGAAACCCACAGAAACAGCTGACCTAAGCTAGTGGGTCAGCTCACTGACTCTGGACTGACAGCTGGAGAACCTACATAGGACAGAACCAGGCCCCCTGAAAGCACATGACAGTTAGTGGCTTGGACAATTTGTGGGGCCACTGGCAGTGGGACCAGGCTCTATCCCTAGTGCATGAACTGGCTTTTTGGAGCCCATTCCCTATGAAGAGATACCTTGCTCAGCCTAGACTCAGGATGGAGGGCCTTGGTCCTGCCTCAAAGTGGTGATGGGACAGACTTTGTTGACTCCTTATAGGAGGCCTTACTCTCTTCAAGGAGCTGATGAGGGATGGGTGGAGGGGGAAGGTGAGGGAGTGGGAGGAGGGGAGGGAGGAAGAAATGGGATTGGTATGTTAAAAAGAAAGAGATAATAAAATTTAAAAATTATAATAAAAAGAAAATAAACATTGATAAATCTTTCAGTCCATTCTGAATTAGTTCTTAATCATTCCCTAAAAAAAAAACATAGTCAATTCCACTCAAGGCAAATTTTTCACAAAAATTTTCTTAGTTTTTTTTTTTTTTTTTTTTTCCTTTCACATAGATATCTCAGGATTCCCAAAGTGTTTCTGAACCCAAAAAGCTGCAGTAAAACTCAATTAAAAAGCCAAGGTGCACACAGTGATCCTACTAATATTATCTAGGTGTCTGGGGATAAGACAGCCTAGGGTCTGGGTAGGGTTCATCTTCTCTGCCAGTTAAAGAATTAAAAGACAAGAAAAATCTCAAACTCAACAGGTAGCATCAGAGAAGCCTCAAACACTACTGACAGAATATGCAGTTGAAGAAAAGTGTTTTTTTGGGCAAGGAAACATATGAAACAGAAACATAGAGAAAAGGACCCTCTGCAAAATAGAGGGGGTACTACCCAGGAAACCATTGGGTTTTTTGTAATTGTTGTTTTGTTTTGTTTTTGAGCCTGGGGTTTGTTTTAAAGCCTCTGAAGAATTTTCCTTCTCTAATTTGAGGTTGTTTCATTTGAAGATGGTTGATTGGCCCAGAATTGTTGTGCAACATGTCCGGAGCAGGCCTTGAACTTGTTGAGTCAGTCAATCAGCAGGGGACCTGCTGGTGAGAGACAGAAGCCCATAAAGCCTTTGTTTTAGGCTGTCAGTCTTGTCTTGATTGGGAGGGTGAGGGAGATGTCCATCTTGGAAATTTGCCATCTTTATTTTCTAGCCATGGTCCCTCTCCATATCTGTTTGCTAGCAGGGAGTCTGTCTAACTAGCACTTGGGTTGCAGAGGCAAGAGTTCAAAGATAGCCTGGTGTACACAGCTAAGTCCTAGGCAGCCAGGACTACAGGTCAAGACCTTATTTTGAAAGATTTTTTTTTTTTTTTTAAGACAAGAAATTAGACAAAAGTTAAACACGGCATATGCTTGTAATCTCTGCACTTGGGAGTCAGAAGTTGGAGCTTTAAGGCCATCCTCAGACAGACCAGGCTGAGGCACGTGGAACTGTGTCTCAAAACACAACTACCCAAACAAAACCTGTAATTCAAGCACGGGGTGGGAGGGGGGTGAGGGGGGAGGAGGCCGAATAGGAAGATTGTCATCAGCTGGAGGCCAGAACATACTACTGAGTAAGGCCTTGTCAAACATCAAAGCCAGTTAAGTTCCATCTATCCTACTCTTTCTTAACTGCAACTGTGACATAGTATAAGACTGGAGCCATTAAAAAAAGAAAAAAAATAGAAACTGCTTTAATAACGAGCCCAACATTCGCAATTCAAATTGAGGAGACAAAGGCCTAGAGAGGGGAGCACAAACTGCAAAGAGGTGAGTGCTGAGATATCCCTCAAACTAATTTTCAGTGTCTTCACATTCCCTGAATGTGAAGCTGGAAGAGGAGGAAAGTAGATAGTGTGCATCTACAGCTTTGTAAATACACCTGTCCCCAAGGAGAGGAGGCCCCGCCCGGTTTCAACCTGTAGCTAGGTGCAAACTCGGTACAAAAATTTACCGCAGAACGTGGCGCCCCGACCAACACTCAAAACCCACTGGTCGCTGAGAAGCCCTAAGCCCTGAGGTTTCCCGCAGCTGAGCTCAAAGGCAACGACCGGGAACGCTGGGTTTTCACCCGCGCCATCACTCCAACTCAGAAAACGAGTCCCTAGTTAGCACGAAGCAGGAAAACATGTGGGCACAATCATAAACAATTCTACAAGCTTCGCTGAAGTTTCTACGAGAAAACGCAGACAGTCAAGGCTCTGAGCCCGACGCAGAAGCACCCAGAGATCGAGCGGGCGGACGGTGAGGATGGTCGGAAGGAAGGTCGACATCCGCCGGCGCCAACGGCCGCGGAGGAAACCAAGCCCGCGACCGAGCTCCGCAAGCCCCGCCCCGGACAAGGCGCTGTCTCTCCCAGCGCCCTCACCGCCGTGCCGGCGACCCTCACCCGAGCAGGTGCCGAGTCCGCCATGGCCGCAGTCGCTCCACAACACCGACTGGCGGGACAGTGTTCGGGCTGAGTGCTACTCTGCCAAATGCCTGGACTTCGGGAAGCCGCCACCGCCGCCTTGTTGATACAAGGTGCATTCTGGGAACGTGCCCCTTCCCCGAGCCAAGAAGAGCTGCAGCCGCTCCTCCCCCCGCGCGGTGTTCCTATTGCGCCCCAGTGCGCCGGGAAGGTGAAAAGCAGCTTGGAGCTCCAATCCTTGAGTGTGGGGTATAAGCAAGCAAAGGCTCCCAAAATCAAGAGCAGTTTTTGAATTGAAGGTAAATCCTGCACACTGCGAAATGCTTTAAGAGATTCAAATATGTGTAAGTTCAAAGATTTAAAAAAAAAAAGAGGACTAGTAGAAAGAGAAATGGGGAGGGGTGGATGTGATCGCAATATATTCTGTACATGAATGTAATTGTCAAAAATAAAAATAATTTTTGAATAAGTAAACTCACACTTTTCCCTGAAGCAAGAACACGGCCTAAGCTGAAGAAAGGTGAGTTCTCACGGGCAAGTGATTTATTCCAAACGCTCACCGATTAGGCTTTTTAAAAACTAGAAATGAAGGTTCAAATGTCAGTGGAATGGGATTCGGAGCCCAGGTCAGTCCACTATAGACTAATATGGTAATCAGGTGCATTGTAGAATCCAAAGTAGCCTTAATCACAAATAATTAACCTAGTCCTCATACCATGGTAAGTGTTAAAGACAGTATGTTGTGCATTCTGGCTTGGAAACATCTGGCCGAATTATCACTGGCCCCTTTAACCCCATCACTAAGAAGTTTGAGGCCACCCTCAGCTATGTAATGAGTTTCAGGCTAGCCAGAAATATAAAAAGAGGCATTGACTCCAAACAAGGCCCCCCAAACCAATACTAGCAACACCAATCATACTCGGCTCATTTCCACCACACTGTCCTGCCGACGATGGATGAGAATATATACCCATTGTGAACAATGGGCATAAATAGCTACCTCTAAGGATTAATCTGCTCTCACTAAGAACCCCTTCTTCGTGTTCAGGGCTGGGATCAGAGTCTACAAGTGATCCCTGGAGGGACACTAGCCCACTTGAACATGGGGCTTCGGCAGTCCTTACATTCCTGAAGCTAGCTTTCCAGGTCCATTCCTTTAGTTGGCCCTCCTCCTGAGACTGACTACCAAGGTCCAGCTATCATTGGAAGTCCAGCAATGAAAGTCCCTTTTGGCTCACTTAATTAACATGCCTGTAACACCATAAATTAAAGACCCAGAGACATATATTGGGGTTCAAGCTTCAAGCTGAAGATCAGAGAAGCAAAGTAGCCAAGCCACTACCTCTTCACCAGCTCTCACCAAGCCTCAGACTGCTGCTGCTTCTCAGTGTGGCTGGAGAGTCAGTGCCTTCCTATTCTCAATGTGGCTGAAAAAAAAATTGATGCCAGTTCTGAGATCCTGTCCTAAATACCCTGAGTCCTGGGATTAAAGGTGTGAGCTCTGTTACTGTTTTAGACTCATCCAATCTTGTGTAATCAGTGTAGCCTTGAACTAACAGAGATCCATCTACCTCTTAATCCTGAGTCCTTGGATTAAAGGTGTATATCACCACTGCCTGACCTGTAGAGCTTGTGGCTTGCTTTCTGAATCCTCAAGCAAGCTTTAATAAATCAAAATAATATATCACCACACATGCCCCAATAAAATTAAACACCTTATGTAGTGAGATAGTCCCTTTGTCCACACCTGTGGCACTGACCACGCCCATTGGGGTGGGGACAGGAGCAGGCATGACCTGGGGGAGCTAGGTCTGGGGAAGGGGCCCCAGGGGCTGAGGAGCATCTGGAGGCATCCTTGGCACCAGGAACCTGCTGGTGTTCATCTGTCTCTGTTGTAAGTTATTTCTCCCTGAATAAACATCTATTGAGCCTATTTGTTTTTCCTGATCCTTATTAAACCATGTTAATCTTATCCTAACAAGGGAGTTCCCTTTGTACCTTTATAAACTACCATTTTCCTATGTCTATCCAGAGTCAATTCTTCGTTGTTTTACCTTCCCCCCTCCCCCAGGGGCAGTTACCCCATTTCTTCCTCTGGTTCCCTTCCCCTTCTCCCTCATCCTTTATCTCCTGTCTTTATCTCTTACTTCCTGTCCTTCTGGGGCAAATAAATATCCTTTGTGCTGAGAACATAGTCTTGGGCACCCTAAGCCACTATTCCTTCCAATCCCAGTCAACATTAACTAGCGCTAACAGCTCCCTCCATCCCAGTACTCTATCTGATGACCTGCTGAAATTTCTCAGCATTTGCTTTAACAGGCACATAAAACATACATACATACATACATACATACATACATACATACATATTAAAAGCCCTGATTCATTTAGGCCCACAAAGCAAGTAAGTCCCAGTGTTTTCTTGCCTTCATTCTATGTATGTTGCCTTAGTTTGGATCAAATTGTGCTTGACACTTCGTAAGCATGTTAAGCATTCAAGGAGTGTGTATACTTGACCCATCTCATCTCCTTTCAAGCTGAGGGCACAGACATAAGTCATTGTCCCAAACCTGAAATTGCGTTGAGTCCCAGGAAGAGAATGTTGAAGGGTAGATGACCTCTCAGATAAGGGTAGTCATCAGTAAGTGTGAAGCTGCACCCTGCAGCAGAAAGTAATCATCTTGTAGGAGCCAGATGGATCCTTTCAAGCAATTCAGTGGCAGCAATAAGGGCTTCTTCCAACCACGCTATAGAACCAGAACTGGGACAATACTCAGCTAGACCATATATTGACCAGGACTGCGTAATTATGCATATTTTCTTGCCCTTCTTACTGACTCAGATGTGGACACATTCCTCTGGAAAAGTCTTTCAATGTGGCTCCCAATCATTACAAATGGTGCTGCTGACTTTGCACATGTAAAAGGAAGTGTTCCTGCAGTCACATCCAGAAGGCTTTCTTTCCTACCCAGATGATCACCTATTGCGGTAAATAAGGATCAGGATAAACAAATAGGCCGAATAGATGTTTATTCAGGGAGAAATAACTTACAACCTAGACAGATGAACACCAGGAAATTCAACCCGATCCTCTCCTGTCCGAGTCACGCCAGAAAGAGAGCACCTTCCTGGCCCCCTCCGACCTCCTTCCTCAGGTCACCTCCGCCCATCGCTCCACCCCCCAATGGGCGTGGTCAGTGCTACAGAAGGACTACCTCACTACAATCACCACTCTTCCCAAAGCACTATTATTTATTCTCTGCCTGTGCCAGTTCTGCCAACATTTTTAAAATTTGGGTCTGTGTTGGCATGCTGTCTGTTTATTCAAAAGTGTATGTTCTCTTTTTTAAATATATTAAAATAAAGTGTAAATAGTTACCTTACAACAAACAAACAAAAACAAATGGTGCTGCTGTTGTTAGAGCAATAAGGAATATGCACACTGCTAGGATTTGTGTTCTTCCATGTCTACATGTATAGAGTATGGGTGCTACACATAAACCTAAGATTGACTTTGACATTATCCATTAACAGAAGAATCTTTGAAATACAAACAAAAATTAATTATATATTTTTTTTGAAGACTAGTGTATTGACTACACCACAAGAGGACAGCCATCTAGGTAGTGGCTATGATAACTTGCAGCCACGCAGAGCACTTTGGTGGTAGTGATGGTGGTGGTGTGGCTTTGAACACCTAATCCTCCTGCCTTTTGACTGCTGGGATTACATGTATGTACCACAAGATAATACAATTTTAAGTTAAAATGATGCTTTAAAAATATCTCTAGCCCTTACATTTTTTATTTTGTGCATGGTTTGTAGGATACACATATATATTCTATATAACATTATATACGTTAGCATATGTATGTAGTTATACCTATTCCTAGATATTTTTAATTTTGAAACAGTGTCTCTCTACATAGTCCTGGCTATCCTGTAGACCAGGCTGGTCATGAATTTATAGAGATCCACCCGCCTCTTTCTCCTGAGTGTTGGGGATTATAGGTATACATCACCATTCCCAGCATAGTCTTTTGGGGGAATTGGGGTTTCAGACAGGGTTTCTTTGTGTAGCTTTGGCTGTCCTGGAACTCACTCTGTAAACCAGGCTGGCCTCAAACTCACAGAGACCTACCTGCCTCTGCCTGCCAAAGGCTGGAACTAAAGGCGTGATGGGAGATGTCATTCTGTATATGTTTCTCATACTGGTTAATGATCACAGCCAATTCTTTTTAAAGGTAAAAAGGGGATTAGGGTATAGATATGAATACTTTGTTTTGGAATGAATTTTCATTTATTGATACAATTTAAGGTCAATTTGTGATATGTATATTTCTCTTGTTTATGTATTGTGTTTATATAGCTCGTTTAAAAATGCAATGTATAATTTAGTACAGATTTTAGATAGTTACTTATAGTAGTCAAAACTTATAGCTAGGTGAGTTAGGTTTTCTAGATATGCAGAGATGTATTTGAGATAGATAGGCATTCTTCAAACCTTTCAAAGACCTACAGAATATGGTATTTAAAATGGTTTAGGGTTTTTCTTGACAGTGAGACATAAATGCTCCTGGCAACATCACCTGCGTCAGAAAGGAAGATGGACATCGAAGAAATGCATTATGGAGACTAGCCATTTGGACAAGATACTGCTCTTGTCTGGACTGTTTGACTTTATGCTGTATAAACTGGACATGCAGGACCCACAGGAAAGTGACTGCTGATTCAAGATGGACATTGCTACAGAGTTCCTGCTTCATGGAAGAGTCTGCCAGACAGTCTGCAGGACACAGAGAAAAGTGACTGACAAACTGCAAATACAAGAAGACAGTTTAAAGTTTCCTGCTTTGCTGAAGATGGAACTGCCAGACACACTATGGCCTATGGGCTGAAGATGGAAGATTACAGAAGAACTTCAGGTGACTGACATGCAAGATGTCTCTATCATTTCTAGAGTTTATATATTTTCCTTCTGTGGTCTTTGAAGGAGTTGAAGACAGATAGTTATAGTTATAGTTTTCTTTAGTTAGGCTTAAAGATAAGTTACATATAGGACTTTAGACTCACAAATATAGGATAGATGATAGAATAGTTTCTTTTAGTCTTGCTAAATGTGTAATATA